GTTTTGCCCCGTCTTTGTTTTTACTAGTCTGCTCTTCCTGGGGGGGGGGTGATTAGGAAGAAAGATAATGTTTCTGGCAGGGTATGATGCCCTACAAAATGTGAGTCTGGGTTTGGTTGACTTGGTTTGAAGTCAAGCGTTGGGTAGATGGAACACAGGAAACATGGTTTGAGTATAGGCTGCCTTTACCTCCAGTTTCATGCATGTCGTCAAAGGATTTGCCCTGCTGGGAAGGCAGGTTGCCCCTCTCCAAACTCAGGAAAAGTCTGGACAGTTTGGTGACCCGCTGTACAGTATCTGGCAACTGGCAGTATTGGCGCTGTACCCGCAGATCATGGCCCATGAAGTTGGTTAGTGTTTCAAGTTGATGTTCCTTTAATGCAAGAATTTGAGATGCAGTTGTTACATGTTTACATGAGGGAGTTTGGTGGACCGGATGCTGGATGCATTGTCAAGGGCAGCCTTATCTGCATATGCCCTTAAACAGTCACTCCCTCAAATGTGGCTCTCCTGCCATAACAACACCGTGCAAACAAAAAGGTGTTTTCTTGGGCTACTCCAGCTTCATGTCTCTTGGGGACAAGGGCATTCAACCATGCTACTGCCTCATTGCTTAGAAGCACGGGAACAGTTCTGCCTCTCTTGCCGACTATTTCGACAACACGGAACATCTTGCTCAGCTGGCATTCTAAATCACTCAACAGGCATTCCCCCTCCAGTTTGGCTATGCTGTGCTTGTGGAAATCTTCAAGTTTCATCTTTGAAATCTCCCCCTGCCTTCCTCGGTTGAACATGATGAGGTGGCACAGACTGACCTCATTCAATTTCTGCCAGGCTGGTGTGATTTTTCTGCCCCGATCCACCTTGGAGGAGTTGAAGCTCCCAGTTGCCAGCTTCATGAAGGAACGACGACTTTTGGACTACATCAGCATTTGTCAGGAGAATGGTGACTTGGTTGCGTTTTCCTTGGTACAGCGTTCTGTGTGCGTGTGTGGACACAAGGTCTCGCCAGTCAACTCACACAACTGCAGAAACTCTTCCGCACGTTCCGCTTTGTGTTTTTGGCCGGACTCTAAGGCGCTTCCTTTCAAGACGAGTGCACACTTCTTGACGGAATAACCAATCTTCAGCGCTATAGTGACGGAACATCGTACAACTGTTTGTCTTCCCTGAAGCCGGCAATATCGTACACGGCCCTGACAATATCAGAAAGATGGTGCAGATGGACAAATGATTCAAGTGATGCATTTGGTTGCTGGGTGTTCTCAAGGAGTGATATGACGAGTCGACCCAATTCATGTACCTTGTAGCCATGCTGATCTACATCATGCCCGAGTTTCATGTATTCACGCTTGGCTAATTTAACAATCAACGTGTCATTCTTGACTACCAAAGGCACACGTCATCATCTTTCTTCATTGGACTAAGAACCTGGTGCAACTGGAACGACACGCCAACAGGAGGAGGTTTCAACAAATCACTCCTGTGAGCTGTTCGTCCACCCACTCGAGCCCCCTTACCGGTGCTGTCAGTCTGCAGAGGGGGTGCTGGCTTTTAAGGGCACACGTGTTGCCACAAATCGGTACGCACAATAGCCGTAATAATGTACGGTCCATGTGCCTGGGGAGATACCTTGCGATTTGGCCTGTACCCGAACACGAGCACACCACGACCTCCACGCAGAACCTGGCAATTGTGCCTGTGATTACCCACATTGCGAATTTTCAGTAGAAGTTTCTTACGCACACTAGCGTTGGGCTCACAGGCGATCTCGATGACTTCTCTTTCTTCCTTGTGACATGACTGGAGATGACGGGGGAGCTTGGCCTGGGGTAACATCGCAGTAAAAGTGGAAGTGTTTCTTGTCCCATTTGCTGCAGCCAACCTCATTACGGGTTTGCATTAAGGTCACATCACAGTTCTCCTGGACGTCAGACGTGTCATCACTTGGAGCAACAGATCTAGTAGGCCTACTGCTGGAACCGGTGGACGGCTCAGCCATACTGTTCAAATTTCCCTGCTTACGGTGGATGGGTCAGCTGGCAAGAAATCGATTCAAACAATAATTTCATTACATTATATTGAAATTGAATCTGCTTGCCCTGCAGAACGTACTCAGTTACCGAAAGCTCGGCAATTACATGTTTCAGAGCACTGATTTTATATTATATTCTTGTCAATATTCTGATCGCGGTCCTATGCAACCCTTCCCTTTTTGTCTGATCAATAGATTTCATTACACTGCCTGTCTTCTTTTAATTTGGTGTGGACAGGTAGGGGGAACAGGCATCTGGCTCCAAAGAGCCACATCCGGCGGAAAAAAAAACATTTTAAACGCAATTAGAACCACCAGATACTGACAAAAGAAAAGTCTTCACTTCAGGCTGGAAAAATGTGCTGCAAAAATCTGTGAAGCTGGGTCATGTGATTGAGCTTTTGGACTGCATACGTGTACCTATTCCACTGGCACATTCACTCTAGCAGCGGTATAAGATCTATGCTAGCCTATCGACAACTGGGAGGGGTGGTAGTAGCCATACTTTAACTACGCGTTATCTAGTAGTGGTAGTACTAGCCTAGGGCCATGTGTGTAATGATGTGGTAAACCGTACCGAGGGTCTGGTCATGCTCAACATTCTACTTCAAATGAAATCGTTTTTACTCACCATATTTTCCACTTGAAGAAAACTACATCTCAGAACGGCTGGCTACAGAAGTCCACAGGTGTGATGGCAAAGTGACGCTATGGTGCTTCTGGACAGTTTGGGGGCTTTTATATCTGTTGGGGTTATGGGTCCCCAGCACTTGGCAAAGTTTATTGTGCTCAGCGATCCAGACCGGCCTGGTGGCCGGCTGGACACCTTTGCCAGCGTAGCAAGAGAGATAGATAGGGCGCTATTCCATCCACTGATGCGCCGAAACTGTAGAGCGGGTGTTTTAAACACCCGGCGTGTTAAATACGTACACCAAGGACGGCTTCCAAACGCCTTGAAATTTCATTAACCATCATAACTTCTGAAATTTCACCTTATTGCGAACTGTGGACGTCCTTGATTTAAAATCCTACCTCGATTCGTGGCTCTGTTTATACATAGAAGAGCTCCGTCTGCACCTTCCACAAGTATGTATATATTTGCCTGCAACTGGGGACCCCCTATTGTTGAATGCAGAAACACACAGGTGTGTATTTGCCTGCAACTGGGGACCCCCATTGTTCCTCTTTCGTTTGTACTTAAACTTTTTTAGAAGACCACCCATATGTTTTGTACACAGTTGTCAATCGAGGACCCTCTGTCAATCGGGGACCTTATTGTCCTCTATTGTTCAAGGTCCCAAATTGAATGCAGAAACAAACGCAGACTCACCCACACCCACACAAATCTCTCAGCAGCTTGGCTATTGCCCATCAGTTTGCTTTCTAATCTAGCTTGGACTGTGCCCTTTAGGTATGGGTGTGCAAGAAATAGAAATACAGTTATCACAGAGATATATGCTCCAGAAATAAAGCTTTGAGCATATTTCAAATATTAAATGTTAAAGCCATGAATAAAATGATCATGGGGATAAGCCAAAAACTCAAAAGAAATTTTGGGTGAAAGCGGTAAATTCTCGACCCAGGCCTGTTGGTTTATGATGTCGCCAACCCTTTACATAAAGGTATGGTCCCAAGCTGCCAACAAGGAAACATGGATACTGATTTTGGTAGCTCTTAGGTTCGGACTGAGGAGGAGGCAATTTTACTGAACTACTAAAGGGCAATTTGTAAGAGTCAAACCTCTAACGGTTTTGCCAAAGTGTCCTTTTGATAAATACTTTACAGTCAAATACCAAATCCTTAATAATTTCTTCTTTATTTATTTAATTTTGAACGTGTTTTAGAAGTGTTTATGGTGTGTTAAAGGTACTTATACTTATTACTTATTTTTGTTCCTGGAAATTTGCAACTGAGCCCAGATATCCAAATGAGGCTTTAAAACGGGTAACATACATGTCCAAAATAAAAGTAAATGGAAAATAGGCGATTCTTGCGTTCAACTTAAAACTACTTCCATGGCTCTTTGGGACAAAACATGACAACTACAAAAAAGCAATAGGCAACAAACCAAGCCCTCATTACAGTCTCCATTGATAACCTCTTTTGATGCTTTGCTGTCAATTTCAACTGTGTGATTGACATTTTAGTAATTGTTGAGTACCCATTCTGCAATTTGCTGTCAGAAAATGAGGCAAGACTTACTGATAGGTACGCTGCCTTTGCGTGACAGCTGACTTATTAGTAAGCAAACAGTTTGAAAGACAAGGGCAGATATTTTTTATCAAATTATGCAGGTACAAAAGTGAATTATATTTGAAGATTTTGACGTTAGGATTAGCTAAAATTAAGTGTTGCTTGTTTCCTATCAAGCTTATCAATTATCCAGAATATGCAATGGGAAAGACTTCGCTAGAAAAGAAAGAAACTAGGTCTTGCTGAATGGAAAAGAATGGAAAACAAGAAACCTCATCAAGATCATGAACTCCTTTCTCGGTGAATGTGGCTTTCCGGTTACACAAATTTTAAGGCATTAGCGTGCTCTGAAATTCAACCACTGATTATCAAACTCACTTTTGAATATATTGGGAAAACTTGAACTTTAACAGATGACAGTACCATACACTCGTCGAAAATCTTTTGACAACCACCTCCCGAAGTCAAAACCTAGACACACCATTTGAGACGACCGTTATCAAGGTTCTATCGGACACAAATCTATATCAACCACCTGCTTCATGCCGGCTATGGCACACGGCCTCTTAAAAACGCAAGCATTTTAACTCATCATAAACTGTCAAATAACCAGACTCCGTCATAAATCTCGACAATATTTTTCCCAAGACGTCAAATAAATGCTCTTAATTTTTTCACTTTTGCAGTGTGTCTAGATTCCTGTGTGATAAATGGATGAAAGATCTAATAAATAACAGGATGGCCGGGAGGATGGCAACAGACCAGACCGTTCCCAAGTTTCATCATGCAAGGCTCTAGCTTCGTTCTCAACAGGCTCCCCAGGGTTCTGTTGCTTGGTAAGTTCAGCACAATTTAGTCACAGAGTACGAGCACGACTCCGTGACAGACTTGTAACACAGTGGTGGTGGTTATAGGTTTAATTGTATCAAAGTTCCACGATCACCATACCGAAAGTGGCGATCAGTGCTGGAAAAAAAATTAACGTTTAAAGACAATTAACGGAAGGCCGATATACTTGTAAAAGAATGCCATGTAACTCCCTTCTGTATTAATTAAACTACCTTGGAGCTTCTTTGATTCAGTTCAGTCGGCAAATTCCACGTAATTTTTGACATGGCATGTGTGAAAGTGAGGTTGCTCCAGCAATTTTGGCAACATTGTTGGATTCTTTCTCAAAGCTACATATGCGACGCGAAATTGTTGCAGGCATGTGACCTCGTCTACGCTTTCCCCAATTGAAAGAATTATTAATTTGATGGCATAGTATGATTGACAGTGATGGTCATCTTAATAGTCTTTTTATGGTTGACATTTAATATAGTTTCATTGAAATTGTTTTAAGCTCTTTTCTTTGTCGAGCTGCTCTGTGTCATGGTTCATCCGCACGCGTTTCACGTATACGTCAACGCACAGCTGGTTTTCAGCTTTTGGTATCTGCCTATTATGTGGTGATGTCTGTATAACACTGTGTACATGCTGACAAGTAACAGTCCTCTGCCTGCTGACAGGCTACGGATACCCTCTGCTTTCAGTGCTTTTGACAGTGTTTGACGTTGCCACTGTGTACAACAGAAAGTCATTGGCACAATGGTGTTACAATAAAGTGTTAAGGGCACTTGAGTCATTTCACAGGTAGACTCCTACGAAAATCGATTATTTTTTCTTGTAATTGATTCTCCGATTTACTGGTGCACAGTTGCTTCTCCCACACAATCCCGGACCCCGCGGTCAACAAGACTGCTTAAATACAGTCTGTTATCAGACCATCAAATTAAGAGGTGCCAATGTGGCGACGACGATCAGAGCCCAAGTACAGATTAGGAAAGGGGGCTTAAAGGGGACCAATGGCCCCTGACCGAAAAAAAGCCTAATTTTGTGTTTGGAAATTAATGCATGACAAACATGTCGGTTTGTTATGTTTCCATTCCTGCTAGAAAGGAGTTGTAGTTTCACCACTCAGGAAAGCTTTGTCTCCAAATCCGGTGCCCCGTGATTAACCCTACACGTCCTCGTGTAGGGCATGAATAGCCCTACCAGTGCCTTGTTGATGTCTTAACTTCCCTTTTCCTAGGAATCGTCTTAATATTCATCCTTGGTACGGCACACGGAAGCATTTTGTCTGGTGGTAAGGCTATTTTGCTTTCTGTTTCTCATTAAACAACCAACGGAAAGGGCATGGTCAACAGTGCTCAACTGACAGAAACACGTATCTGCCTTCAGTCTAGGCCTACTGATAGTTAACATCTGTACGAATTTATTTCTAACTCTTTTTTTCAGTTTTGATTGAAATATCTAAAGTCTCGCTGGCTGGAAGCATGGCTGTTTACCCTTTGTGCCATAAGCGTAGTGTTGCCTTAAAACGTGCCTGCTTGAAATACCCTTATGTGTACAATGTTACTGCGTCTAGGCTCGAAGACACTCTCAAGTGCGCGCTCTGCACGTGTTTCAGTGGGAAATTATGAACTGGGTGTTTTCAAGTTTGAGGTTATTTTGCCTACGTAGTGAGGGCTTAAGAGAATTCATGCCATGCAAGCAGTTGTTTTATGATTTTTTTCAATTAAAAAAAATCACAATCCAAAAACGATATTTTCATGGAGGACTCGGCCAGTTCTACTTTAGGGATTTGAGATCTTTTGTCCAAATTTAGTTTTGTGACTAGCAGTATGTATACTTTTGATACGATTTATAATGCCCCCCCTCCCTAAAAAACAGAATTTAAAGTTCTCCGGATATTTTCAGAATTCAGCTTTGAAGTAGAAAGGGGTGAAGATTTAACATTTGTTGACAGTTTTTTGTTAGATTTTTCAACACAGCATGTCCAATGGGAGGCTTAGAGACGTATGGAGGCGGCAGAGAAACCGGTCCTTTTCCGCAGTTGTGCGCGTACTCACAACTAACACGCATGCCTAAAACTGCACGCGCATGCCCACTTCAACCAAAAGGACCTTTGTGTCTGCCGCCACCATGCGTCTCGAAGTCTCCCATTGAAGTGAAACATACGTTTCTGTAGCTTAGAGGCGAAAGGTATACGTGTTTTCGTAGAGCAAATCACCAATACCGTTAATGGGTGTACACTGTACGTGTGTTAACGATGTTAAGCTTTCCCTTTATCGAGGGGACATGCACGTGGAAAAAGGAAACCCCAATTTCCACTAGTTGCAAGCTTGTCTCGTGATGACTGATGAGACATAACTGCGCGTGGATATACCGTGTTACACAACACGATACTTTTCTTGGGTAATTCGTGCATGAACAAAAAAGGACGTTGATACAAAAAAATAGTGGTATATGAGTATAGTGAATTAATGCGACATCTTTTGCAGTCTGTTCACGAAACTGTGCCTCGAGATTTGCGCACAAGCGTTTGATCCTGTATTTTAAGAACTTAATTTTTTGACGGTGTATTAGATTTTTAAAACAGTTTTCATATACAAGGCACACTCAACAGCAGGAGCCAGGTTTTGATATATTAAACAAAGTAGGAATAAATAACAAATGCAGTTCTCATCGCACTTTTCATACAATTCTTAATACTGATTGTGGGTTGTTACTACACAAAACAGTCTGTGACCAAGGCTGGCTTCGCTTCGGTGACTACTGCTACCTTTCCCCTACGGACGTGGCATGTTTTGTGGACGCTAGAGGTTATTGTAAGGAAAAAGACGCTGACTTGGTAAGCATCCATAGTCAAGAGGAACAAATGTTCTTATATGGTAAGTATTGATTTTGGACAGAGTTCTGTAAACTAATGATTGCAAACAGCGGCTTATCCAGCTTTTGGTGTGTTTGGGGGGAGAGGTAATTCAAAAACGATTGCAAACAGCGGCTTATCCAGCTTTTGGTGTGTGTGGGGGGAGAGGTAATTCAAAAACGATTGCGGCTTGGGGCTCATTCATCATTACGTTCGGGAGGCATGAACGCAAGTCAAAAGCCTTACTCACGGTCCTGACTTCGTCGCCTTTATTTACTAGTGTTGTTTTCTTAGGGTTTTAGGGTTAATATTTGGTAAACAAATGTCCCGATTACTTCCTTTCCTACTCACCTGTGAAGTAATCTAAAAGAAAACAAATACGATGGTGGGTATGTTGCCCTCCTGACTCCCCCACTGGATATGCCACTGCAGTCGCTGAAAAAAAAAACTATAACATACATGCTATATAGCATTCCAAGATGCGATTACAAGTGTAGAGCCAGTTCGATTGCCCCATGCTATTCCGAAATTAACAGTCGTCTTGCGCGAATTAATAATAAAAGGGTATTAGCAGTATTGAGAAAAAATTAAAATATTGTGCAAATTAATTTTCAAACGCTTTGCAGAGGCCAAATTATGTTGTTTTTAACTTGAAGGGTAAACCTAAACGTGAACAGCATATTAACCCTCGCCCAACTTTGTTTGCTCGAAGAAGACAAGTTTTTCATTTTCTCTTTTAGACTGGAATGTTATGTTGTTTATAACATCCCCAATTGTCCCAATTTTAGTCACAGTCTTGTGACAGAGCAGCCAAGGCTAAGCCTGTTTTCTCGTTATCTGTCATTCTTGTAGAGCCAATAAGCTTAACCATAGTCTTTTAGTGAACAGGCTCCCCATACAGTAACCATTGCTCCAGGAGATAAAAAAAAAACGCAAGGAAATGAGCATTTCCAAGAAATCCCTGTTGTGCCATCAAGGATATGCTTTCAAAGAGTTAAGTATATATTTTCCAAGTTCGTTTCATGAAGTGTATTTTTCGAAAGTCGTTCATTGTTAGCTTGCTTGTTTTTAAGAGAGATATTTTTCCAAAGTTTGTTTACTGGAAAAAGAGAAGTTTCAAATTCGTTCTTCTGAGATCTAAATAGGCCCTATAGAAAGATTGCTTCTATTTTAGGAAACACCTTGATTTTTACCAACCTTTTTTTCAAAATTCGTTTCAAGGAGATTTTTCCGAGCTTGGTTTTATGAGTCATGCTTTCTTTTTGTGAGATAAAAACTCAAACCTGACACCAGGAATGGTATAAATATTAATCCGGAAAAGACATATTGCAAACAAACAAACTCCGTCCAAAAAAAATTATGTGAAAACGATTTGTATCCAAAACAGAAACAATGCCTCTGAATATACATGTAGACCTCATAAAGATGAGCTAGAAGGTATGTCCACAAGGTTTTCATTCATGATAAATTCCTGTCCTTGCTTATATCGTAGATAACCTCCATCTGGATCGTCAGTACTGGGTGGGATACACCGATTTAGCCAGTGAAGGTCATTTCTCCTGGACTGACGGCACAGAGGTAATTTTTTTTTTTAATTTTAGCACTTAAGATTTAATGATTGGTGATCACGTATATTGGCTAAAATCGAGGGCGTGGGCTGTTTAGTATTACCGGGTTTCGGCGCTTGTCGGCCTGCGACCCCACCATGCCCACCTAACAACTTGATCAGCCTGATTCTAAATGATTTTTCATGCATGCAACAACTGTACTGCATCTTTATACGTTTCCGTGGAAAGGAAAACACTCCTCTGATACCACCCACAAAAATCAAAGGCATTATCACTTGCAGTTCTTGTACTGTAATACACGTTGTCCCAGAAAAAAAACAAACCCTGAGGAAAGGGGTTAATATGCCCGAACCATGAGACATGATTGTAATGTATAAGGATCTCCGAAAAGTAGAAGCAGTTTTTTTCCAATGATACCTTGATGGTATCCCTCCTGTCATGCATGACTGAATACCATTGTCTTGAAAATGGGGCATCCGAACTCAGTTGTAACACTTTGGATGCGTTCCAGGAGCCATTGAGCAAACTCCCGTCTCCTCCTGAGGTCTCCACGCACAGGTTGGTGGCGGATGTGCTTTCGGTTTGGATGGAACTGCAGGTCTAGCTGCGTTATGCAGTTAAACGAAAAATGGGACAGTCCAAGCCCATTTCTCCTGCTGCTGATTCCCCTTACAATCATATCTCATGGTTTGGGCACATTAACCCCTTTCCTCAGAGATTGCTTTTTTTTCAGGGACACCCAGTATATCTTATCTCTTGCTGAGTGTGCAGTGTCCAGTATGTCGGAGAGACCACGAACACGCTCAAGAAGCGTTACTATGGCCACAGATCTACGGTCAGCACCAATCTTCCTAACCATTATATGTATGAAATGACCTTAAAGGGCATAATTATAATCACTAGGCATGGCACCGTAAAGATGCCTTTCGCTTCAACAGGGAGAAGCTTTGGATCAAAAGCCTCCCCACCATAGAACCCCATGGCCTGAACATCCAAGTGGGAAACTTCTAAGTAACTCTTTTCTTTCCCTCTCTTTGTTTGCAGATTATAACCCCCACCTCCAACTTGGGGTCCAGTTTGTTCCATTGCAATTGTTTCTTTGTTCTGTTCCCACCTGACATCCTTTTGTCACTCAACCATGCCTTTCATGCAGTCCCCTTACCTCTTGCCCCTTTATCCAGCCTGCAGTTTTCTTGACCTTTCCTTTTGTCCTCCTGCATTCGTCCATGCTTGGTCGATTCCCTGTTTACTTAATTGTCCTTTCTACTTGTAATTTTGCCTTTGAGAAGATTCTGCTGGGATCGAAACATCAGGCCCTCCTTATTTACGTAATTGGGATCCTTAGCCAATCACAGTCCTCTGTCCAATATTGATTGCAAACTCTATATGCTGTGCACAAAAGGGCTTATTGGTCAAGTGGGTAAGTTGGCACCGCCAAAAAATAAAGGAATAAATGAAAGAAATAGCAATTACGGAAATATAGATGAAAAATAGATGTACTGTAAGTGTATATCATTTTCTCTTACCTCAATATCAATGCATTGCATTACCTTCTCCAAATAATTGGACGAAAAGGTCCGACGAGCTAATGCCACATTTAAACATTTAAACATTTCTAGATCCGCCAATTTGCTTACCCATTTTTTTCCCATTGTTTGATAGAGTAATTACACCAACTGGTCTCCTGGTGAGCCACATGACAATGGCGGTGATGATTGCGTCTACATGGACCCAGGTTTCTACGGACCCAGAGGAAACTGGAATGACGGCTGGTGCTATGGGCATAGCCATTTCATCTGCAAAAAAAGAATTGCTCGTACGCATGTTGGCATGCGCTTTAATGTTACGTAACTTAGGTCTCACGGACTGCTCGGCAGCCGAGGCCGCATCATTTCTTGCCGTTTCAGGGCCCAGATTAAATTAGCATTTAAATACTTCAGTGGGTATCCAATTTGAAGCAAGATATGGGACGGAGAGAACCCCCCTGCCTTTGTGTTGGTCATTGTTTGATCAGAATCTCAGGAATTCTTTACAGACTTGGGGGGGGGATGTGTTAGGTAACAATAGTCTACATTGTGTATAGGGATTGGACAGGTAAGGGGGGTACCCCTCCGTCCGATATCTTGCCTGGTATAGGGTATCCTCTAGCCTCTACAGCTAGTAAAACCAGCAAAAATTATATCACAGTACCGCCAGGGGCCCTGTTTCCCAGGCTGTCTGGATTTTTTTTTTGGGGGGGGCACTACGGCCTTACCACGCACGGCCGGCAGGCCGGGGGAACTCGTCTTTTGGGGGGGGGCACTACGGCCTTACCACGCACGGCCGGCAGGCCGGGGGAACTCGTCTTTGAAGCGACTAAACCAGTTTTTATTTGCATGAACAGAGGTAGGATATAATGGGTTGTGATTCCATTCGGACGTAGGTTTTTTTTTTAGTTAACCAATTAGCAAAATGTGGCCTCTTCAGAAGAGGTTCCCATTTCACAAAAAGTCAAAAGTCTCGCCATGGTGTAAAACCAGGTTGCGAAAAATTCAAAATTGAAGCTGGTCTCTTGGAAGCGTTTTTCCCCAATACTAAGTGTTCACTAGCTTAACCAATGCTACTTCACGAAAGAAGGGATGTTAACGCAAAACTACAAAATAATATTTTCTCTGCCTTTTAACTCTTCTGGAAAACGGCTTACATATTGTCGATAACATGCACGTTTTTGCCATTGCACTAAGCTTGCTGGGTGCAAAACTGCTATATTGGGCTCTTCGTGAAAACGACAGAAGGAGTTTTTCCTCTGGTCTTGCCTTTTATTTTTTATACCACACCTACAGAAGACAACTTTGTTTCTGCAGGAAACAAGCAATGTAGTTTAATTGAACTTTGCGGCAAGAAAATCCTTGCAATTTGGCTAATTTAAAAAAAATGAAACTTTGCATGCATCACATATCCTAGTTGACTTTCAAACAAACCAAACAGAAAAATGAAACCTCATGATTTAGAGACAATTTATCTCTTTGAGAAATCGATGAGGATTTCAAGCACTGCCATTGAAGCAAAGATTCAAGAAAAGGTGCGCTTGGGAGGGTATTTCATTCGCATTGACACTTTAATTAAACGTGGACGCATTATTACATGTATTTATGGGAGGCACTACTCTGTTCCAAATATAAGGACTCAGACATCCGCTGAGCTCAGATGTCCAGCAGAATGCACCGGATAACTCTGCACGTTGGCGCAACGTCCTCGGTTATCCGGCAGCACATACGTGCGCCCCCTTCGGTGGCAATTTAGCCTGTTTGGTTGTCATTGGTGAAGGAGTTTGACAGGGGTTGGCTTGGTACATTGCAAATGTATCGGTATTATATGCGATTTAAGGACAGGCCGGCATTTAGCGCATAGTTGAAGGCGCGGGATGAAACTAGGGTGTGCTTTGTCTATTAATTACAGTTTACAAGTATCAATATAAAATTGTTTAAACGTCGACAGAATGGCAACAGGAAAGAGCCGGCGCTTTATTATTGTCAATAAAATTACCGCTGCAAAGACTACTTGCACGCATGAAAGGACATCCGACGTACATGAAACCTGGGGAAGAAATCATGTCTGCACTTTACGTGTCCTTAAAAATGATAAAGGGAACACAAACGGGGCATTTCTGTGTACATGTATACGTTGGGATCGTAGTTGGGGGCATGTTTGGGGGGTTTGGTTACGATCCAGAGATCCTAAGGCAGTGGATGACAGAGACCGTTGTTCTAGACCTTTCATCCTATGTGGTAACTCCAACGACAGTGTTCACTAGTTGCAAAGGATCAGCAGTTCATTATCCCCAAACCGCTCGTAAGACCGGTCATACGCTGCACGAAAGCGAACACAGACGCGAATATGTGACGTCAGATCAAATATTCGCGCTCTTCGAATTCGCAAAAGTTCAACTTACTTCAACTCGAACGAAGGTTTGCTGAGGAAATTTTCTGGACGTCAAATTCAGTTAGCTCTTCACATTTGCCTGTAGGATAAACTGGCTTTTCAGGAAGACGAAAATTAGTGTCTCTGTAAAAATATCTTGAAACAATGAAGGACAGAGAATCAAAGTGGAGTCAAAGCTGAATAAGCAAGTTATCTTTGAGCCAACGGAAGTGGAAACACACGTGGTTGGCCTAACTCTGTGATGAAGGCACCATTGTCTAACACTCATTTTGCTCTAAAATCTCCAATAATTGTGTTCTTTGGGTGTCTAAGAAAATCCTTGCGCAGTTCGTGATTAGCAGACTATAATCGTGATCTTGCACGGTGAATAAGGCATCTATGTGTGGGATTAGATTGCGTTAGAAGAGTTAGAGTTACCGACTACATTTTTTCTCGAAAGACTTCAAACGTACAGGGCACCTTGTAAATATTTTTTTTTAATTGATGAGTTAGTGTACAATGATCGATCTTTTTCTATTTTGTTATTTATCGATGTGTTACTTTGGAGACTTTTCTTTCTGTTTCTTTTGGTTTCCAAAGCGTCAAGCTGTAATGACAAACCTTGTCAAAATGGAGGAGTTTGTGAAAGCGTCTCAAATGGTGGCTACCAGTGTAAATGTAAAGTTGGATACTCGGGCAAGAATTGCCAAATAGGTATGTTAAGCCCGAATGGGTGTGAGGTATTTTTAATAAAGTAATTGTTTATTTGCTATGCATATACCGTGATTATGTTTAGAAGGACAGGTTCAGAATGGTAAATAAATAAAATTGCGTCCTTTTTGAATGTTAAAATTCAGTCAAGAATACAACACAACTTACAACATCAACCCTGCAACCCTTCCAATATTCACGTTGTTAAAACCTTGGTGTTTTATTGGAAAGTTGCAAAAGGCCACACTCAAGCTGTTGGTGTTTTTCGACCACTAACTAGTCGGGAGAATGATGTATGTTATTATTATTATAACTTTTCCTCCAAAGTTAAATCTTGAATCTGTCAAGAACTCAGTGCTTACAAATATGGTATCTGTGAGTACACAGAGAGAAACACGTTCCCTTCACGGCAACATTGAATCACTCATCATAAAACATTGCAATATGCCATTCTGCCCAAACTACAGATAAAGTTGTAAATACCGGACATCCATGGGCTTGTATCCATTACAGCTGGGTGATATGAAGGTTTAATTTACTTTTATTATTATTTTGCAGATAAATACTGCGAGTCAGATTGGTATCACTGGGGAGACTTCTGCTATTTTTTCAGGCCTGAATTCAAATATTATAGCGATCGGCAAAAGTGGGACGGAGCTGAAGCTAAGTGTCAGTCCTACGGAGGAAATCTTGTCAGCATCCACAGCAAGGAGGAAAACGACTTCATCTTTGGTAATTCACAAATAAACTGCGTGTGCCAAAAAGGAAGGAAGCGAATGGTGTCCCTTAAAAAAGCTGTCAACTGGTGGTATTAATTACACAAATGGTTTTTAAAGAGGACATTTTGGCATGATTTTTGTTGTACCTAATAATCAAATTTGCTTTTGACGACCCACAAGGTTTGTGCTTCTTTCTTGTCTTATCACTGGGCATAACATAAATGAAAGTAACAATTTCATTGCTGGGGATGTTAGTTGATCTGATGACCTGAAAGACAAGCTTGCCAATTTGCAGTATTAAGTGTCGGACATCTTAGTATGTTGCAAAAAGTATCATTATTTGATATATCCCTTTTTCTACCTATCACGAAATAGGCCTACACGGCCTTAAGATGCATTCAGTCGAGTCTGCATCGATGCTGCAACTGTGAACACAAATACTAATAAGGTCTGCAATGAAATTGAATGTTGAAAGAGAACAGTGTTTTTCCCACTGTTTCCGCCAATTCCACAAAGTATATATATATTTTTATACAGATCATATAGGCTACAGTGGTGGTGGAGTTTGGATTGGTTTCACGGACAGAGTAACAGAAGGCACGTTCGAATGGAGCGACGGGACAAAGGTAGGAAAATTCTGGAAAATCACCAGCGGGTAAACGCTCCTTGCTGAAACAGAGGATGGTCTGAAATGATACTTGCGTCCTAATTTACAAAACAATATTTTTCACGTTCATACATACGTCACAACCCCGTTGAGCTAAACCAGTTTTTGTTTTAGTACGGACAAGAGAATTTGGTGCTGAACGCAGGGGAAGCCACCAAATCCATTAGTTGAGAGGAAGAGGGTTTTTCAGACTTTAAGCTGTCGTCTGTGCGAAATTATTGCTATCATTGACGGTAATACAGACCTATATCTGACGTCAAAACGTCAAAAACAGCAAGCGTTGATCAGAACGTTCACAGGACCCTATTTTGAAATCAGCATTTATTCCATTGTAGCATGTCAACTTGATTTTTCTTTCCAGATTTCCAGGTTGTTGTATTTTTGATTTACCTTTTTTCCACAACATCGGCGATTCACGATGCAGCGCGCCACCAAGAGTTTGCCACAGACAGGCCATTTTGCAAGTTTACGGTCGGCACGCCGCTGCAATTAAGCTTACTTAGCATGTATCTCGGGGATATTTGATTGCTTGCTTTCTTTGTACAACGTAAAACCATCATTTTAAATACCTAACACCCCTTCGAGATGAGCAATTTGGAATTTTCAACCAAGATAAATATTCGGGAAAAATTGGTTTCCGCGCACAGTGCAGTGAGCGAATGTGATTTTATCTACTATTTGTCCCATAACGCACTGCGAAAGGTCTATCCATTACAACCTCTTGATGGCGCACTGTATGGTGAATCTCCTATATTGTGATTGAAATCTTGCTCGAACTTTGCAAAATGGAAGTACACTGTAGAGTTATTTTTTGGTAGAATTCTCTTTCTAAGACGATTTCAAGAAACTCAATTCTGAAATCAGACACTAAAAATCAAGTGACTTTTTTAAAAAAACCTTAAGGAGGGGTCGATTTGGGGAAATTTGAAACAGTTCTACGGAATCCAAATGGTAATAACGTCATTCTGTGTATTCGGTAATCCACGTTTAGCTATTTTTGTGAATAACACATCTCATTTTTTCTTTATAAATTGTGTTTCCCATGAATGACGCTGGGAAGCTAAGAGATGATAATACGATGCAGAAACCAAACCTAAAATTAAAAGGTCATGTGGTTCGCTTTGGAAACCCTCGCCCAGCCGACTTCGGGGAACTGTGCATTAACAAGGGAATAAAAGTGTGTGATTGGCCGGTATCAAACGTGAGTTTAAGACCGGCTCAGTAGAATGGACACCACTAACACCCGAGCCACAGGCAAGGGCATTATTAGCGCTCAGTCTCCTGACTGGGAAATTTATTCCCATTCATCAATACCTTTTAGTTGGAGAGTCAAAAGAAGTCTATATAGTGATGGTTTTCCTAACATCCCCGTTCATTTTTTGATATCTTCCTTGTGTGTGTCGTCCAAAAGAATCTCTTTATATGGACTTGGCGGGAGCGTGCACACGGACTCTTGACCAACAAATCTTGACCAATCAGAATCGTTTAAACTGTCTCATATCCAGGTACTAGGTGCCAGCCCGTGATTTACGCAGCAGGCATTAATCACTTCTCAGCGGGCATTATCAAATGTTAACACACAGTCAAGTTGCACGTTGTTGAATAAGGAAACTGTCTGAGATCATGATTTTTTCACCACCCACCCCAAAAAACACTCGTGCATACAATTTTGAAAATCATTTACAAAAGATGAGTAAAAAAACAAATTATGAAGATTCCATTTCCATCAATATCACTCATATGCCTCGTCGATTTTTTTTTTAAATTTTCACTGTAAACTGATAAAGTTAGTTGGATTTCCTCTATACCCCAACCTCAGTCATGTTATTTATCGGGAAGAAGTCATTTGTTGCAATGCTTTTGTTTTTGATCACTTGCTTACAAGCTGTAACGGACGTTGTGTAATTTATCTGACAGAAGAGGTCAATTTGTTGCAAGGCATTTGTCTTTAATGTCAAACAAACTTCTTTCATAATTCAGAGTAGAGGGGATTTTTTCTCAGATGTTCATTAAAAATAATATCAAATTCCAATACATTGCATGATATTGTGAGACAGAGTTGTGCTGGCTTTCAAGGGTCCTCCTTTTAACTATCCAGCAATACATCGGGCGTCACAAATACTGTTTCCTGACATGAATACACGCTTGGGGAAAGGCATGAGGCCGATCTCGCTACAATCAAACCCCCGTTTTCATTTACCCTTGTATTCCATAAGAGCAATGACCCTCTAAACTATGCACGCAGGATGCAACATCAAGGACCACTGAAGTATTCGTGTTTTGCAGGCAGATTTTTCCATCTGGTGCCCCCGGCTGCCTGTCAAAGCTTTGAACGAGGACTGCGTCCGCATCGAACCCGTATTCTTTAGTGCAAAATGGTGTGAAGTTCCTTGCGGGAAGGAGTACGGTTACGTGTGCAAGAAGCCTGCAACATGTAAGAACGCATCTCCTCGTTGGACAGACTAGACAGACAGGCCCCACGAGGGTAGGAAGAAATTAGTGGGTAGCATCGCTCTCGGAAGTTCAAATTAGAGGTCATAAAAAAGCTGATACATTGTCTACCTTGATTAATAAACTTGCGTTTCAAGCTCAGCAACAAGCTATAAATGTTAGATTCACCCAACACAGGACAAAAATTATCCTTTCGCGGACATTCGACCATGAAGCATCAGCTCTGTTAAAAAAAATACTACTAGAGAATCTAAAAGATAGTAAAATTATCCAAGAATTTCATGTAAAATAGCTCAACACATAAAACATTGTTCACACAAATTAGATTTCTATATTATGTTTACGTGCACCGATTAAATAGCAGTTGCTTGGAATTTTAAGGTTTTCTTCGAAATATCTCTCAAAGTGTGTCAAACAAAGACGTGTCAGAATGGGGCTACTTGCATTGACTTGGTCAATGACTACCAGTGTATCTGTCCTGACGGCTTCGAAGGAAAAGACTGCGAGACCAGTAAGTTGCCAGTCTTACAAATAACCGTTTAACTTAATTTCAATTCATATTCCATTTATTCAAAAAGGGGCCGAATTAACTGCATCCACTCTTTTCAGGTTTATTTTCAGATGGCTACCTGTTACCTGCTACCAATGCTAGCACTGAAGCTGCTGCCTGATGCACACCTGTACACATTGTGTTAGGACCCCCTCTCCAAATGATAAAATTATAAAACCCATGTCTAGCAATTTAACATAATTTCAATTTCAACCCAAGTAAATCTTGATATAAGCACACGTAGTGTTGCCCATTGACTCGTCTATGGAGGGAGATCTTGATATAAGCACACGTAGTGTTGCCCATTGACTCGTCTATGGAGGGAGGAACTTAATGAAAAAGTGCGCTTCCTTGTGTTAGCCCCACAATTTTCAGATAAGAGATATTAAAAACTGCGCTCACAAAGCACAATATCCCACATACAAAAACCACAGCGTTACAAAATATTAATATTTAGAACCCAGCAGTAGCGAGCTAATATATACGTTTTTAACATTTCTGTTTGTCAGACATTGATGATTGTGCCGTGAAGCCATGCTTAAACGGAGGGGTTTGCGTCGACCTGGTCAATGATTACCGATGTGACTGTATGAATGGCTACGAAGGAAAAGACTGTGAGATCAGTAAGTATACATGATGCCACATGCCTTTCCGATCACATCAGGAATTTCCTCATTACTGGACCGTTGCCAAATGGCTATTTTATATATTAAAAAATCGTGTGCAAGCCCTTTTCTGTTCTTTTGCGGCTTTCGTTGGGAACTATAAGAAAAATTACACCGACGCCAAAAAGGCAGAAAAATCGCATCAAGTGAAAATAGAAATGTTAACAGTGCTTATATCCTGTCAATAAGAATTTTTATTTCAATTAATAATTTTCAGATACGGACGACTGCGCACTGATAACATGCAAGCTTGGTCGTGTCTGCGTGGACGGTATCAACTCGTATTGCTGTGTCCCTCAGTCTTAAATATCGACAGAGCAATGTATCCAAATGAACTTACACCTCTACGAATATTATCAGATCACAGCATATCAAAGACCAAGAGATTGTCAACTTTTCAGTATTCAAATGCAAATAAAAATAGAGAAGAATAGAGTCAAATCAAACCCCCAAAGAACTGAAAGTCTCCAATTAATTAAAAGATGTCACAGTTTCCTATAGGCCTATATGCTGTATCCCCGGAATGGAAACTCATAGCGGAAGATAATCTTTTATTTTTTATTTGTGTTTCAATTAATCAAAATTGGATTTCACGTTTCCTAACAGAACTGCCGGTTATTGTATATCTCTCTGACTCTTTGACACCCGAATTTTGGGGGTGTAGATAAAATTTCCAATTTAGTTTTTAATTAATTTGAAACGAATATGCTCTTAAAAAACCACCAAATTGGCGTTCAAATTCTGTGCTGCTTTCGACGATTGGATGAAAACTGTATAACGAAGTTATATGTTACCACCTATATACAATGCTTGAATCAAGGAAACCGTATTAATCTATCAACACTTTTATTTTCCACCTTGAAATGGAACAGAAAGTCGGTGATTTATAGTAAGAAAAAGCAGACAAAAAAAAAAGAATTGAAACCCTCGACAAAATACATTGAAATTAAAACAGTCTTATTGAGCAAACGTCAAACCGCAAATGTATTTATAATTCTTAACAAATAAAACATGTTTCATTCAAAGCAAATTGGAATTTATTATATTTTATTTTATGAAATCGGGTTGGTCTTTTTTAATGGATTTGTTTATATACCGATTGGCGCACTACTGGGTCATTTAAATGACCAAGTCTCTTGAAACATGTATTGCTGTACTTCCACGAGTTTTGATGATGGAATTTGTTTATTTATAGTTGTACTCGTTCAAGTTGCAAGTCCTTTACCAAAGGGCTCTCTGCCCCCTATGTGCATATGCAAAGCCTAGCTGGGACACTAATTCTGAGTGAATTCATTAGTGCTGTACTCTGGCGTGATCGATCGCTTATCCCTTATCACTAGCTAACTAAGTCCTTATCTACGCTGTTCGATATCTTTCTTTATGTCGCCATTATGTGCTTCAAATTGCTGGAACTGAAATTCACTTCAGCCACTTTCAGTCACACTCGGCCATATGGGCAACGGACCCAAGAGGACCGGGGTCAAAGGTCACCTGTTGTTGAAAATTAGGAAATAATTTTTTTCTGAAAGTCTTTATCCAATGGAGGACAATTTTGGTCAGTTAGTGTTGGAGCCTGAGTCTCATACAGGGAGTCCACAGTATTTCACAAAATGTTACCTAGTTGTCATACCAGTCGGTGAAAACCATAAACCGTCTTCTTCCACCGCATTCTTCTGCCAATTTCAGCCCTACTCGGTCAGATGCTTCCTTGTCCAAGACCCTGCACAGTTCTTCCCGGGAGATTTAGATCAGAGATCACTCAATGGTCAGGAGGGATCAATGTCAGGAAAATGAACAAAATGGCCTTTTCCTTCACTTTTTAAAAAACTATTTTAGCCAAAGAGTGGCAGCTATAGGCCTAGTGGGCGCTTCGGATGCTTTTTTTGCAGATTTAAGAAAAGCTCACTTTGTGGTCAGCGTGTGGTTATCTGGGGAAAAAACGAACTTGCTTTGTTTGTTCACTTCTCAGAACGATTTCAGCCAAACTTTGTTTTGACTTGCGACTTGGACTGAAGTCACTATCTTTGTTACTTTTAACTTGATTTGTAACTTATAGGTTTTAACTTGCGACTTGGCTTGGACTTGCAGAAACTGACATGTGATTGTACTTTGACTTGCAAAACTTGACTTGCTGCCACCTCTGCCTATGTAGTCAGTCTGTGTTAATTTTCTAGAAATTGGCCGAGAAGACTACTCTTCACTTTCCGAACCATTACAGTCAAACTATGTCAGCTATCAGCATTTTTTATGCATTGCAAATTTTGTGACAATGATCACATTTTGGTTATTTTCTGGAAATGGACAAAAACGCTTTACTCTACAGTTTTTCGAATGCTTTCAGCGAAACTTGGTTATTCTTGCAAACTCTGATTGCATAATTTGCAGATTTGGGCAAAGCTTACCTGGAAGTCATTACAAAGTCATTTTCTCAAAAATGGATAAAATTGCTTTCTATCGTATTCAGGATGATTTTAGCCTAATGTTGTCAGTAACAGGCCCTTTGCACGATTAATGTGCATAGTTTTCAGAATTGCCGCTAAGGTAAGCCAGTAGTCAGTATACACGAGGTAATTTTCTCGAAAATGAAGCAATTTGTTTTCTTTACTTCTTCCAACTATTTCAGCTTAATTAACGTCGTCTATATATTATTGGCCCATAAGGAGCCTCAGGTGAACTGTTTGCAGATTCAGCAAGCTCTCTTTTTCATACCCCTGCAGATTGAAACAAGCTCTGCTACTTGGAGTATTCTGCGCGTTTTTCACGCGCTGATGAAACGAAGCCAAACACGGATTTACCCAAATTCCACCTTGAGAGCCTTCGTTGCTTGAACTCCTTATTTACTCTCCGATTTCGAGAAGACAAACACTCAATGAAAAGTCAAGTTTTGCTTGGGCAAAATTTTTACTGTTCAATATTGTCTTGTGAGGAATATGCTTAAATTAAATTCAACAGCGTATTTTACACAAGTGGTTCATACATCAGTGATAATGAAGCATTGATTTAGAAATGAGGCTGGTCGGTTGCACATGCGCAATTGCAGATCAAGGAGGTTTGGGGGGGCCGACCCCTCCCCCACTCATTGCTCCTTTTTAGCGGTCTACGTGCAAAGGTATTCCCCCTAAAGGTATAAAGCCTCAAGGATCTTATTTGGTTTTAGGTTAAGGACAAAGCGAAAAGATTTAATGGGTTAAACAATGTCAATACACACTAATCCCCCCCCAAAAAAATCGTAAGTCATTCGGAAAGCAATCCTGGATCCAAACATGGATTTGCACCGGGGAGAAGTTAATTACTTTTGGATTTTTTTGGCCCTGCCCGACGTGCATGATAACACTGTATACTCAGTTTTGCCCCCGAAGGCTGGTGAAAAAAACCCCAAGCGTACAAACATCTTCCCGATGCAAATCCATAGTTGTCCGCGGTACGCGCTGCTACTTCTGACTCGAACCAGCCAGCCGACACAGGCTAGCTTGGTAAGCAGGAAGTCGTTGGTTCGAGTCCCACCTGAGTACGCTTTTTCACGAGCCCTCAGGGGCAAACACTGAATACACAGTATTGACATACACATCGGGCAGGGCAAAAACTCCAAAATGAATCCTTGATCTGCCCCGTAGCCTTGATCCATGCAATGGTACACATGCGGTTATTTAAGTTTAATGTGTTATACTTGCGTGGAAGAGAGCCCAGCTAACTTATTTTCCTCGGTAGATTTCTTCATTGTTCATTTTGTAGGAGGTCATTATTTTTTACAAAAGACCCTTAGCTTTTTGCACAAGACCAAAGCAGGACGTCACGTGACCCTATGATTTTCAGGATGCCCATAAAGTTACAAAAAGGTGTGTCTAAGAGAGATTAATTCAGTGTAGCTGCGCTTTTAACTTGCCCACTGCCGGCTAAAAAAAAAGAATTCACTTCAAACGTTAGAATTTCATATAGGCAATTGTATAATTATTTTTGGGGTGGTCTTTAAGATGAACGTTGTTTTGGTTAATTTTTTTGTGATTTCTCATGGTCGCACAAAACATCAAGTGCTGATAATAATGTATTCAGCACTTCGCATGCATTCACATTCGTACACAATAAGGCTGATTCACAATACAGCGCACAATTTATTTTCGTAGGTGCAAGGTATAATTTAGAGACAAGCAATTAAGCATCGTACAGCAGCGAAATAACGATAATCATGTGATGTAAACTGGGATTCTTGCAGTGCCAAGTGTGCAATGCACAGTGTATTCATACGCAGTGCAGTTGAACGCGGCTGCACTTCACAAACTAAACGTTGTTTGAATGCATTTTTCTCCCAGTACATAACCTACGACGGCCTTGTCTTTTTGTTCTCCATTCGTGCTTTCAGAATAGATAAAAGAAACGCACTGCCGATCTACTCTTTTGATTCTTTTCATATTTGCGTAAGCTCTTCACAGGGGCGGATCTAGGATTTTTCAACGGGGGGGTAACTCGGGATTTTCCAAGGGGGGGGACTAAAGCAACAGTGGTAAAATGCCCCTCGTGCACTTGGGCTTGGGTCTCAAGAACTGAATTGGATTCTGGGCCTTCTATTGTCCAATTTTAGGCATTATGGCCCCTCTATTTGCTTCTCCTTCCTTTTTTAGTGAAAAGGGAGGGTTTGCCCCCCCCCCCGAATCGGCCTCCGCTATACTGATACGGTTTCCCCGTGTGCGCCTTGCGCGTCTTTAGTCCAGTTTGAAATTTATTTCCCACTAGTTTGTCTCTTCTGAGCCGGCGAGAGGGTGCTTGAAGCTGGGGTGGATTTAAAAAAAAAATCAGGTTTGGTTTCTCGCGCACTACGAATACTTCCAGTTTTGTGAAGTAAGATCAAAACTCATGCCACCATTTTGCAAAGAAAGTTAAATTCGCTGCAAATGTTTCACAACGTCAAATTTGCTTTGCTTTGGCATTTACCAAATAGTAATTATGCATAATTTGAGTTGGAATGGGATAAATATCTGCACCGCTCATGTTTATGTATTTTGTGGCAAGATTGAACGCGTCAGAAAGATGCTGCCATTTTATTACTACTGTCACCGATAAGAGTGTAGGTTTGCAAAATGTATGATTTCTTGCAACTCAAACGGAGTAAACATTTTATGTTACTGACTCTAAATAGAAAACTTCTGTGTGTATGGATCTCCTCCTATTAAATCTTCCAATAATAGTGCAAGAAATGGAAAGCTTGTTATTCAAAAGCCTTGAGTATTGAACGTTTCACCAAACGGTTTTTTGGGATATGTTATTGCAAAAGGTTATTACCTATGTCACGCTTAAAATATGACATCATTAGCCAAAAATAATGACTGCAACCAACAGTAAAACAAGCATGCATGCACGTAAAAACAGCCCTTATGATTACAGATGTGAACTTTGAACTCAATCAGACATTAGGGTTTTATTGTTACGGTAATCTGAAGTTCATGGCTTCAGCCTGCGTGCACCGAGCGCAATAGAGAAAAAAAGTATACTTTTTTTTTACCTGTCTTGCAAAATAGGGTGCGGTGCAAGAACAGTACGTTTGACTTTCAATGTATTATTGGAATGACCGCAAATTTGTCTAAGCACTTCTTAAAACATGGAGGTAGAATCACTACCTCCGTGATGAAAACAATTCACTATGGCGATATTGGGCAAAATCAGGCAGTTAAGCCACAAAAACCTAGCCCACCGTGACATTTATTTTGTGTAGCAATAAATATTTATCTAAACATTTTCTTTCACTTTTCATTTACCGGAATTTGTCTCTGAGCACTGTGCCCAAGTGAAAAGTTTCATTGTGGAGATCAGTCTTTTTGCCAAAGGTTTCTATTTCGATATTGTAACAAGGGCCCTGGTAACAGCCTACGCAACTGCATCAATGAAGCTGCAGCACACAGGTTCCCGCCAGACTCTCAAAATTATTTTACTACTGGGGGAAAGGGTATTATGTTCAAAGTATGATCCTCTGAACAAACATAGCAATCCTCCCGACGCATGGACTACGACACTGGTTTGGTTTTCACCCGTTGTAAAGTGGCACACCTTGGGGGCGGGGGTCCTCTGGGGCTGCCCCCTAAAAGGTTTTCATTTTAACTTCTTGAAAAATGACGAAACAAGACAAACCTACATCCTAACTTCTCCGGCCGTCCATTCCCAATCCCAGAGCCGTGTGTAGTGCACTGGAGAGGGACCTGGGAATCATGAAATCTGTGGGGTAAATTCCAGCCCCGAGCCCCACCCCGACAAATCCTGGGGCCGTTGGTATTACAACTGATTGTGTAGTAACTTCCACGCACTAAGCTAAAACCGAAAGCGCATGGTGCACTCATCTGAATTCATGTGGACATAAATACAATTATCAGCAATATGCAACCGACAGCTTTAGGTGGTAGAACAGTTTCTCTCCCATACACGACTGCGTGTGCATTATACAAATATTGACATATCTTGCACCTTGCATAAACATGGCTTATCCGTTGCTGTCGGGAAATGTACTGCATACGTTGAGCTGCCATTTGTTCCATTTGTTTGGATTGCATGCCCCAATATCGGAGTTCACGAAAGTGTGCACCTGAGTCTGGGACTGTATTTTCCTAATTGTGATGCTGCTAAATAATGTTGTGCACGTTTATCCCGCATAGATACACTGATGCCTGAACATCAGGTCGTGAATTTCAGCCGTTTGTGTTGATGGTGGCCTTGTTTTCCGAATCTTCACCCGGTCATTGTGGCTCAGAAAGGGAGGCGTGTTTTGTGACTCTTCGAATAGCCTTGCTCGCAGGGGCAAACGACCCAACAAAAGTTTTCGAGCGTGACCCGTGAAAAGATGTCACTGAACGGGTCCTTGAACGGAGAGAAAAGAGTGTTTTCCTGTCAATAGAGGATTCAACCGTGCCTGATGTGCCATCGTGCAAAAAAAAAGTGTTTGTAGCAGCGCTACGTGGGGTGAATAATGAGGATTTCTGGATCAACCGATAGCACCGGTGGCATGGCAGTACGGGTGCACGGTTCGAATCAACGGCTAATTACGTGCAGGAACACTTCAATAAATCAACGGTGAGACTCCAGTATCGTTTGATTGCATATGGTGCCGATAGTGCAGGCACCTGGCCGTGTTAATTCAAGCGGTGAGCCTCCCTGTCCGTTGGCACCGTATAAGCAGGCATTTTTCCCACCGCTAAGAGCCGGCCAGCAGCAGCCCACCCCTTGTTTCCGGGAATATTTCTGCCCTTCCCTATGCGACAGAAGTTCTTCTGGTTGGCATCGACAATGTTTGTTAAGCTCACGAAATTTTGCAGTTGAACCTTGCGAAACACGTGGGTGGACCAATATTTTTACTTCTTTCATCTGTGAGTTTGCAAACAAACAGAGGTGTGCTCATAACCCAATATCCATGGGGGAAAGGCAGCATAATAATTGGTGCGATAAACCGTTCTTAATGCGACCTAGCTTGCATTGATTACAAACAACAAGCCGAAGTTCAGGTATTCCCACGAGCACACGGCGGCTGGTCTGAACTTGGACTGGAGGCTCACTTGTAAGTGCATGGAAACGCAGATGTCAATCGGCGCCAGATCTTGGTTGGTGCATTTTAGAAGCCCCCACATTTTCAACGAGAAGGAACCTGCAAATAAAGATTGTTTACAAGACCCATGGGATTCAAAATAGCAAACTTTATCCCAAGCGGTAAGTTTTAACAAATTCCATTGCCTTAAAATTCTTTTTTTGGACGCTATGGCATAGATAATTACACGCAAAAAGATTGCTCGCTTTGCTATAACTTCAGATTTTCATTTCAAGCAGACTTTCTTTCCCTTTACGTGCGTGACTGGCAAATCCTCATGGGCCTAGTATGAGATGCCCTAAGAAAGTATTGAACGCTTGACATGTCTATTATGACGGCCAATAAGGATCAGAGATTCGTATATGGACGGCAGTAGTTATTCCCTACAGAGACCTATTTGCCTGCCATTTAGGGAGGAAAATACCAAGTCGTTCACTTAGAAAACGCAGCATTTTTCAGACCAGTGTCAAAGTTTTTTCTTGGGGGGGGTGTTGTGACGGGGTCTCATGTGGCGTCCGCATACGGAACTCTTTCTTTCAAATATACGATTAAGTTTCTTTTTTTGTGTAAGGCTAAAAGCAGAGTAGAACTCAATTTGCTTAATATTCCTATAGAAAGATAATGTCAAAGCTCAAACCCACTATAGCCGCCTCTTCTGCGACAGATGGCAAACATCAAGATATTAATCTAAGGGCAAAATTAGGTATGTGATCGAATTGAACATAGTCGAATTTCTATAGAATCAATTCCGTATCTGATGTCAAACATGGATAATATCCCACAAAGTTCGTCAATTCGTTATATAGTACTCCTGCCTTCTAGTCAAATGAGTAAAATATATAGGAAACCAACGTTTGCCATTTTTGCTAACGTTTACTTTTGTTTGCCACAGTGTCTAAGGAGGCTTCATCAGGAAACAGACCCGGCAGGATATGGGACGGAGGGGTTTCCCACATGTCCAATCCCTATAGACATTCTATTGTTACCTAACACCCCCATGTCTGAAAAGAATTCATGAGATTCCTGTCAAACAATCACCAGCACAAAAGGAGGGGCGTCTCTCCGTCCCATATCTTGCTGCAAATGTCAGGAAATCTTTACACACTTTACTTTCTAAAAATAAGGAGTCAGTAAGGACTATTTGATGAGCTGTAGGGTTTTTCACGCTTTCAGAATGAAGTTTGCATCATCTTCAGTGATTTCTTTTTCACTCCGGCCCTGAGTTAAGTAATGGTGCAGCATTATGTATCGACCCTTGCTATGGACTAAAGCTGTATTGTCCAGACAAGCCTTCGACCCGTGCTAATAACAATTAAGTAGCCCCGGCGCTGGGTAATTACGTTAAATGATCACATTCCTCGCGATCTGTTGAACTCTGAACCATGTTTACACGGGATTTCAGAACGTAGCTCAAAACAAAATAGGATCAACGTGGGTTCATTGGAATCTTACCCGAAGGTAATGGGCAGCATTATCGACTAAGTGATCACGAGGAGAATAGGCATGATCCTTGTGGCTATTGTTGGGAAATAATAGAGTTTTCCCACTGCCAAACGCTGAGTGGGCCTAGCCTTTAGTCGGGGGGGGGGAAGCCATCAAAAACCCCAAGCGGCATAGAAAATTTCTGGACTAGGTAGTTATTTGAGAAGATGCTGTGTTTTACAGCTCTTTAACAATACAGTTTGAAGATTGAGAAAATTGTGTGAGGACAGTTTGGTGAGGGCACGATAATTGGAATAAGTTTTTACAGTTTCTACAACCACCCTATAGCTGTGGGCATGGCCCATTGTGACTGAGAAATTCTAGTTACTTTTCAGGTTGATGAAATTAACGTATACCTTATTGCAACAGTCACACCACTTCAACTAAATTCAATCGTTTTTGTAGTACGCTTTGCATCGATTTGAACCTGAGAGCAGATCATTATACTGTAATACATTGCACGACTGGGTAGGGCCTACATTGCTAGTGGATTTAATGGGAAGTTGTTCAAGCTGAATATGTAAAACACTCCTTGGTTTACACTCAAATTTCTTTTAAATACCAGCACTTCTTTATTCGGACATGGTCAGTGAAGTAAATTTAGAAGCATGCTTTCAACACAAAAAGAGCGTCATAAAATAGGCTGCCAAGGCTGAACAAGATGTAGATAAGAGCGACCTACCGCTGCGTTTCTTTGCCGCGTTTCAAGTTGGACAAGCGGCTGTACGTGATGCTAAGCAACTGATCGATTGACCAAAGGGTAACTATGACAATACTGAAACGATTTCGTAAAACATGCGGTTCAACACCTTGTCCACCAGGTCCTAATCACTGTGCCGAAAGCATTGTACTAAAAATGAGAGAGATGGCATCAGAAAGTTGTTGGAGAGTAGTAGTGGAATAAATCAAATCTGGAGCATTTTATCCAATAACCGACACGGTCTGTGTCCATTTATTACATACATGTATGTACGCCTTGGCACTTCTTCTTGGATTTACCTTTGAAGCTGTCAAACGGAAGTGTCGCCGACAACGCAAACCAGCCCCAGACGGATCGGCAAAATTGAGTCCGGTTCCTACTTTACCGACTGTCTCTGTTGAATCGCTGAGTAGGCCTATACAAACACGCACGCTGGCATGACCGGCGTACTACGATGTTCCTCTCCCCTAGTACCACACATTTTCTCCTTATTACTCGCATATGCCATCCCAATCGTCAACAAAATAGCTGACCATTGACAAATTTTACACCAAAAAGGCATTTTTTGCAAAGTTTGTCTGAGTTTTGGACACTATTTTAAAAAGTTTTTTTGATAAAATGACGCCACATAGCGGTCTCTTCCGCGACTGTCTGCGTCTTGATGTTTTGTGTTCCGTCTGCGTTATAAACGACCATAATGGAAACCAGGCTTAACCTACGACGGCCCTATACGGGCGTTTGAAGGGCATATATATCCCGCCCACTGACCGACAAGCTTGTCTAGTTAAATGGTGGAATTTGTAGACGCAAGCAATGATTCTAAATCTCATTAGAGTAAGAACAGTAAACATCTTCTGTCGAGCGAGTGAAATGCACTGGGCCATCTTGAAAGTATGGGCTAGTCTTGAGGTTTTGGGCGGTCCACTCACACCTCAGATAACTACGAAGGCGTAGTCAAGATTCTGGCCATTATTTACTTTTTTTCCCAAGTGTAGCCGGCCAACTCAAAACACCTAGAAAGCTGAAGGTCATGGGTTAGTAAGCTGAACATGGATAGGCCCTATACATGTTACTACACGTTTATTATGCCTAAAGTAACCCTGGCACAAAGCCCTGCTCCGGCGTGTTTGAACCGTCATCATCATTGATAGAACATAGTTACCAGAAACAGAATGGCAGTAAGTGCTTACGCGCGGTCTTGCGTGGAGAGTCATATGCAGGTGGAAAGATTCTTACCATATCTGACACTTAACAAACACAACACGGAAACAGAAAGCAATGTACGCTTTAGTTTCTCCTTTTTAATAGCTTTGTGCGCCTTTTTGAGCTGGGCGAGGGACAGGCAGCAAAATACATTTAGCTGTAGAAAGCCTACGTTCATTTTTCCGCGTCCACGAGGGACCCCAAAATGGAACTCAGTCAACACACAATGAAAGGGCGCGTTTTCAGGCGCTGCCACAATGTAGTCTCTTTTGGACTGTTTGTGTTTGAACACCTTCAGTCGGTGGATGAGTATTGTGCCAATGCGAGCAGGCCGGGAACACAACATGAACAAAGTTCAGGCAGTGGACTAAGAACGCACGCTGAATACCCAGTGTGTACGCCAGTACTGTGCCAATAGCCGCACTGCACGCATTATCCTTGGCTCCTACCCCACAGCCCATACAGAGCTATGGGGAGGGCAAATTATTTACAATGTAATTTTTTGTGGAGCACTTACTGGACTGAGCTCATTTGACAAATGAGTTAGGTAAAAACTTCCGTGTGCGCATGAAACCTGTACACTGAGTGTGGGTGCGTTTGATCAGGGTAGTGAGGCCGTGTCCGAATCACTTGCAGCTTGAAATTATACGCGAATCAATGATAGTGGCCGCAGCCAGTTCTCATAGAGTTGTGTGCAATTTCCGGTCGTGGCAAAGTGATTCGGACACGGCTTAAATACCCCACAATGCTTTTGCGTCGGTAGCTGCATACGAGGTGTTTCCTTGACAAGATTTTGTGAAAGGTGGCTCAGAAGGGCGGCGGACGAGCAAAGCATTACCCACGCAGCAGCAGTAATTGGCTGTTGACGGTAACAGGCCTTCGGTAATGCGTAACAGTGCGACATAGAACACGAGTGGATTGACTGAGTCACATTTGCGTTCGCACCTCTACAAAAGTGCAGCAATATGTTCCTGAGGTAAATTGGTACTACAAAGAAAATAGTATGTCACAACATTGAGTCAGTGTCCGTAGAGTGGAGAGTCCAGTACCAATCAATGAGTAACAGTTGAAATGAAAATCAAAGAATGAGCTTAACTTTAAACAAGTATTAAGACTCCAGCTGGGGAGAAGGTCTGTTATTATAAGCAACGACAAGAATTTACACTGCAACGTTTCAAGCGCTGGAGTGCAGAGCAAAAATATTTTAGCTAACTCTTTTGATAAATCTCCTTGCCATTTTTGCCAAAATACGTAAACTATACCGAATTGATGGGGTCAGTGGAGAGTTTTTTTTTTGTTAAAGGGAAACAAAGAGAAAGTGACGAAAGTAGTTGCAGTAAACAGACCGTGGGAAATACACGTCATATTCATTGATGATTTGGGATATGCATTTCTATGTTAGTATGACCAAGTAGGAACACCCATTCTTATGAATGAGAAACATTCGAGACATCTGGTCAACTGGTAAAGCATTGTTTGTGTTGAGCATTGCGTTATCATGAGTATGTGCAAATTGGTTCAAACGTGACACAAACAATAACAGACCTGTCACAAGGGACTGGGGTGTATCCTACTAAGTGGCTGAAGTATTCCTCTATCATCTAACACCAATCACGGTAATTTTCCGTCGCACAGGTATACCCTCAAAAGGCCAGACTCAGAATTAGCTCAGCCATCATGTTTTCCACAGTCTCCCGCCTGATCGTGACCTTTGACATCTCGATTTACCTCACCCTCTCCGCTACCCTGCTCAGCGTTGTGCTGCTATTTGCCTACTACCGGTCCTTCCACCGCGCCAAGTCGCAGCCTGCCAGTCGGCCGTTGCCCGGTCCGCGCGCCTGGCCCCTGATCGGTAGTATTCCCGCCATCGTGTGGTACACCAAATACTTTGGCCATCGGGGATTCACAGAGATGGCCAGGCGACACGGACCGGTGTTCGGCCTCAAGCTTGCGCCAGGGCAATTGCTGGTGGTATTGAATGACAGGAGTACCATCAGGGAAGCTTTCATCGAGCAGGCATCGAGAATGACCAACAGACATCTGCAGGGACTAGTCAAAGTATCTTTCCCAGTTCAAGGTAATTTCTTAGTCAGCATTTAGATACAAAGATAGTGCTCCACAAAACAGGAAAAAGTGAATGAAATAGGAGTCACAGAATTTGAAAATAGTCTTCCACACCATATGGTAACGAGTCTACATTTCAAAAAGTATTTTCAGTGGCGTTGGAACAATGTGCCCTAGACCAGAAACCAAGTGTGAAATGTCCTCCATGACCCGAGTTTAAGCCAAGTGTATCTTTTCAATACCATACAATATTTCATGTAACTTTTTTCCTATCAATTCCAATTTACCAAGTTTTGAATTTTAAGTCGAGGCTGTATGCGGTATTTAGAACTTAAGCTGCGATCAAGAACTATAGTCTTGATCGCATGTGCGAACATCAAATTAAACCCTTTCCAAATTGCTGTCACTTCTTGAACCACTCCAAAAAACGGTTCTCCGCTCACGTCAATATGAAGGCTTTGGTACGTTGAAGTCGTACTTTATACTGTGATTAATTTCCATTTCTGTCTTCTTTAGAAAATGGGTAGAAAGCTGAAAATCGTGTTTAGCAGAAACATACCGAGTGAAATTCATGCATGAAATTAAACCATACTGATAGCATTGCGCCGTATGAGGATAACCTGGCTTTAACTTATGGCAACCAGTGAAAATCTAGCCAGTTTTCATTCCTCTCTGAAAATTGATGATCTGGTGAATCTAGGGTTAACCGTTTCCCCCTGAATCCTAGAATATGGAAGGAGAAGCGTTGAGTTGAAATAAACACTACAGAACGCAAAGTTTCTCTCGGTTCTTAAATTCGACCACACTCTACCTCAGTAGGACCACCTTTATTTATTCCACGGAATTTAAAACATGTTTCAGTGTCACGTTTTCATTCCTGTGAGTCAGTTTTATCGACAAACACAGCTTGGACAGAAATGAAGTTTTAGTGGGAATCGCTACAAATATGTTCATGACTCCCAATGCACATTCTAAACAAGGAACCAGACGGCGTAAACAAAATAAATAAATGCATTCTTCTCTCGATCATTTTTGAACGAATCACGAAACCTGTCTCTTTTAACAGCCCATGGTACCTATGCCGGATATAAATGCATGCTTTGGGAAAGAAAGCACTTATTCGTATTCCTTTCCATACAAAAACCCACTGCATCATGAAAATGCTCTTTGAGTCGAGCCAGCTGACCTGGATAAACTTTCCTCTTCTATGTTTTTTGTCTATATTACCTTATGAATTTCTTCCTTGGTATGTCAGAGCAGGTGTCCCCTGTTTGTTGTTTTCTTTTAATGGCGCTTTCCTTTCAGCTTCTCAGGCTATTTGCGTCGACAACTATAGACCTACGTTTATTCATAACCTTTTTTCGGTTAATCAGCATCACATTACGGAAGTTAGGAGGAAGGTCCAGTTTTAGTTTTATGAGCAAGAGGAAACCGGAGTACCCGGAGAAAACCTGCAAGAGCGAGAATATTGTCTACAAACCAAATGCCAAGCATGGGCCAAGCTGGAACTCGAACCCAGGCCCCATTGGTGCAAAGCGAGGAAAGAACCGCTGCGCTAACCCGCTAACCCACTCCCCCTTATTGGCCCATATAAGGCCACATCCATTAATATGGAGACCTTGCATGCAACCGACCTTGCATGCTAGCCAGGCTAGCGGTTGACGCTGGTATGTCAAGTGGAGTTTCTGGATTATCTTCTTTCTTTGGAAGCAACATTTCATGTTAATGCCACCTTTCCACCATAGACTATCCATATCATACCGCTGAAATATGTTCACTTATCTTTGAAGGCACACCTGAAAGTGGTCAAACAAAATTGTGTGAATTTTAGTAAACATTTTGCATGTAGTTGCTCCGCTATGACTTTAACTTGAAAAAGGTCCACACTTAAACCTTTATTTTATGAAAATGTGCTTTGTCACAGGGATGTTGTGAACTCTGAACTGGTGGAAACGTGATTAAACACAGGGTCTCGTATAAATGAGTTACAAACGGAAAATTGTAACTTTTTATTATGGTGTATAGTTACGTGATACTTTCACTGCAAATATACTTTTCGCGCAATGAGAGGGATCACAGTAACATGATTTCTAAAACTGGAGACTGAACAGTTTTGAAATCTCTATTGAAGCCCTCGCGACATCCTACCAAAATTATACAATTTTGTACAACACGGACATAAAAAAGTGTAAGTTCCTGGAGAATTCAGTACCGAAGTGTGACGTCACTGTGAACCAGGAAGTGCAGTGCAAACGAATGGAGTACGCGCGTGTGTTGGTTAACGCGTTCATGCCTTTTACACACTAATTGTGCTTGTGACGTATTCACTTCAGTGACGTAAAACGACCCATGCGATGAATTTTTCAAAGACTTGCGCAGCACAGTTTAAAAACTGTCTGCGTTGTATGCATTGCGCTGCGTATAGTGCATGCAGGGGGCTATATGACGCATCTGCTACTAGGGTTGAATTTGTCAATATGGGCGTTTCCCAACAGTATACGCCACCAAGAGTTTGCAACGCGTTGACAATCACAGTGCGCAAAATCTGTCAACCCAATGCACGTTGGGAAAGGGTCGATGGACTTCACGCGCTGTGATTGGTCAACGCGTTGCAAACTTTTTGAGGCGCAGTATTGTGAATCACCCGTATTGAATTCAAGGGGGGCCGAGACATTTGGCCTAATCAAAACAAAACAATATGATGAAACGATGCATCCAACTCTATCAGTGCTTTGGGCTTACTATTGAATGTTTCTAAATAGCATGAATCAGGATATGTCCGTACGTTAAGGGTATAGCATTTCTAAATTTCAATCGGAGGAAGGATTGGCCAAATCATATTGTTAATTATTGTTTCAGTTTTACTCTGCTTCTTTTGCCTGAGATATACCACATCATGGGCTTGAAGTCTCACACTAATTGCGCGTTAGGAAAGGGTTGACAAATTTTGCGCCTTATCATTGGCCAACGTGTTGCAAACTCTTGGTGGTGCACTATTGTGAATCGCCTGCATTGGCTCCTAGGCTGATAAATAATGCTCAACATGCCCAAAGTGCCATTATGTTGACAGCGTACTCAGCAAACGCTAAATGAGAGAGAACATGAACCGTTCAAAACTTTCTGTTCAGTATAAAACATCACACGTCGAGGCAACCGAAGTATTTCTGTTGAAACAGTAATTAATGCCAAGGCCGATTTGTTGGAGAGCGTAGGCCTTTTCTTGAAAGGTTTTATTTTGCGGTTCTAATTTATTGAATTTTGTGCCGATAGAGGTACACATTTCCTTAGAAAGTCTGAAAAAACGACTTTTATTGTTCGTGCAGGGAAGGGGCCAAATAGAATTTTATATAGATGAAATGATTTAATCATAACAGATCACGTGGTGAAGTCATCCAAACGCCTTTCCAATCTCTGTAACACATTGCAATTTGGTAAGTGCGCAGTTTAAAGTATAAAAGTCGCAAAAGCAGAATATTTAAGGTTTATCTGGCCAATGCATAAACACAATTACGTTTCAGCAGAGAGGCGAAAAAAGTACCTAAGAAAACCTTGCTAAGACTCAGTTTGTTGATCACAGTGTGGTAAATTATTTTTCAATGATTATCATTGATAAATCATTTTACAGGTAGCCTCGCTTGGGAAAATGGTGAGATATGGGCAGCCAGACGACGGTTTATCCTCCGAGCTTTCCGCACCTTGGGCTACAGTAAGAGGGGCATCCTGGGCCTGAGGATTCAGGAAGAAGCCAGAGCGCTGTGTGCCAGTATAGACAAATATGGCGGTCTGCCCTTTGACCCTCGGCACATTCTCGAGTGCGCAACCTCCAATCTTTTCTGCGCAATCGCGCTGGGCGACCGCTACGAGTACGAGAGCCCCCTTTTCTGCTCGCTGGTGCGTAACTCAAAGATCGTTCTTGACAACCTCTCTGCTGTTTCCATTGGCAACTGCCTACCGTTCTTGTACCACACGCCGGTCTGTCGGGAGTACCGGGACGCCGTGATTGGCTTAACGGACTTCATCCGAGGACTCGTTGACCAGCATAAAGACACATATAACTGCAATCATCCTAGGGATGTCGTTGACCTGTACTTGGCTGAGGTAAAAAGGAGGCGGGAAGAGGGGGAGACGCTGAAGTTTGAAGAAGAGGATGTGTGGAGGAGTATGTTGGATATCCTCATCGCAGGGTCTTTTTCGACCGCAACGCAAATTCTGTGGACGTTACTTTTCATGACAAAGTACAAAAGTGTTCAGCAAAGGGTAAGCAAGAGCATCATGTACAAATTTCCGTTTGGTTCAATTCTTCCCTTTTTTATCTTTAAAACTTATGCGTCAGAAAGTTAAGAAATTTAGTTTGCCAACTAAAACAGAAAAACCTAGCTGTGCACGCAGTGCAGCGTTTATTTCAAAGTAAGTCAAGATGTGCTAATGGGAGACTTTGAGACGCTGGTGGCAGCAGACATATCCGTTTTCAACGTATTGCACAGGCTCAGAACTATGCACGCACGCTCACAACAGCGTGCGCATGTTCAGAACTAAAAAAGGACCGGTATGCTTGTCGCCACCAAGTATCTCGAAGTCTCTCATTGGTTGCTCTCACCTTTGGGTGTTGTTGATGAGTTAGTGTACAAGGAATTTCACCAAGCTCTTAAGCAAAATGCAGCCACACTTGTTTACATGTGCACTTTCTTATGGGACTTGGTGGAGGGTGTCCCGGCCCTCACTGGACGTCAGAGGAAAGCTCACGTGTAAAAAAAAAATGTGGCAATGAGGACGACATGTTCTTTGTTTGTTTTTGCTCGTGCTTATTGTTCGGTGAGATATGAATACAGTTTTGTACAAAGAAACTTATCGTTGCCATGTCGACAAGAGTTTTGTCGAAATGGAACAAATTTTCTTTGTCTAGAAAACTGCATAATAAATGACATTACTCATCCTGAAGTCATTTCTTTTGCTTTATTCCCGTCAGATTCACGACGAAATTGACAGTGCCGTCGGCCGGGAAAGGCAGCCCTCTCTCGACGACGGTCCCTTGCTCCCTTTCACGAGGGCTACCCTCTTCGAAATTCAGCGTTGTCGCATAGCAACAGTCAGCGTCCCCCATCTTGCCAGCGGAGATGCCGTGGTTGGAGGGTGCCTCGTTCCCAAAGGTGCCCAGGTCCTGGCAAACTTTTGGGCTCTGCATCACGATCCCCAGGAGTGGGAAGAGCCCGAACAATTTAAACCCTGCAGGTTTTTATCCAAAGATGGGTCTGCGGTTGTTATGCCGGAGAATTTCATGCCTTTTGGAGTAGGTGCGTATAATTTAAAATCATTTCAAATGCATGCTAAATTATTTTACACCTTGGAAAATTTTGCCACTTACTATTTGATACCAAGCCTTAGGGGGGCTGTAAAATCCATGAGAAAATGGCATACCTGGTCATCTATATACATGTATATGTGCTAACTACATGCTGACAGGTTTCTGACATAGATCTGTGATATTGATTTATAGAGTAAAATTGCCCGTTAAATATCAACGTTAAATGCGGTCAATGGTAGGACATGAGCACCGTGGTGGCCCTCTAGAGATCAATAGTAATGTGAAAAAAATTCCTATAACACATCAATGCGTGCGGTTCACTTACTTATAAGTGAGAAAAATAGTTAAGGGTAACAATATCAACCACATAAATATCATAACAGTGTGTCAACGGAAGCAGTTCTAAGCTATATGGGTGATGTTGCGAATTAATGGAGATTTCTGATAATTTTTGGAAAGTAACAACACGGTCAAACAAGATGTCATTGCGGCTGCAGAACTATAGGCCTGTTCTATACTAAAATGCTAAGCTGAATTATGCATATTATTAACCCTAATTGTATTTAAATTAGAGGATTGAGGACTGTTACGGTTAATACTTCTTGGTGTTGAGGCAAACTGAGTGCAAGCGTGGTGGGAAATCCTTGTAGCTTGTAGTTGGATTGAGTAATATTAATTTTTTTTACCCACAGGTCCCCGCATGTGCCCAGGAGAACAGTTTGCTAAACACCAAGCCTTCCTACTCTTTGTGTCCATCATGCAGCGGTACAGGGTGACAATACCTACAACAGACCCCATGCCAGACCTAGAGGGGACAGTATGCGGGCCTGCCTTGCACCCTGGAAATTTCCGGATCATCGCAGAGCTCAGATAAGGAGATTCCAGGTGAACAGCCAGGGGTGGAGTTTAAGACTTTTGCTGGGGGTGGGGATATTTCTTTGTTCGTAAAGGAGAGGGGAGTAATTACAAATAGTTGAAGCCGACGGTGAAACCATTCAAACTCTTTGTTTTGTCCTTAATCGTACAAACAATTAACTAAGACCCCCCAAATGGTTTATGATTTGTAGGAGGTGATTGAGCCTTTACACGAAGACCCCCAAATTTCTACAAAATACACCAAGCGGGAAGTTGATCTCCAGCCCCTGGATCTTAGCCAGCTTTCATCATGTTCATCTGGAATCTTCGATAAAAATTTGTTAGTGAAAAACTCGACGGTATACCTTAAGGCAGCCTACTCCATGGTTGTCTCTTTAGTTCTGAAGGCTGCTATTCTGGGGGTGCCGTTCCGCAAAGATAGCGTGTCCCAGTGACACCATCACTTCAGGTTGTGAACCTAGACCACTTGCCTTATCAGGCTTACGATGGTGGCATCTCCTTCCCACACTGTCTTTTAAAGACTGGATCTACTGCCGCTGTCACTGAAAGATTATCTTCCACCTATTAGGAGCTATCCACTTCTGCAGTTACCGTACCGGTACCGTGGATCATGATCTCTTGCCTATAAGGTGCTCCCTAGACTAATGGTATCGCCGGGGTGTCTTTCGTTCCCTCAACCGCCTTCCAGACCAGCCCTCTGCCCCTGGGATGGCTGTTAGTACTCCTGTGCTCATTGCCTTTTGTCAGCTCCAGAGAACACTCCTGCTGTATTATAGTACTGCGTTGGGGGCGCCAGTGTAGCTGCCGACAACCCCACCATGAAATAAATGTTACAGGCTTACATGGTACCAGTACTGATTCACATTTATGCGCTGCATTATACTTTGATGTAAGTATTCGAAATATTTGATCAGGGAAATTCTCTGTAAGTAAATGGTAAGTATACGTACATGTATATAGAAATTAAATTACCTCTTTTCAATTTTTGTTTTAGCATATTTTTTTTTGATTTTCTGGTAAAACTGGTGCTTGTGGTGAGTATGGCTCAGTATTCGAGCGATTCAGGGAAGTGCGTCTCTAAGAGCTTGCAGCGCGTTGGCCAATTACAATCCACGAAATCTGTCGACCGTTTCCAAACGCACGTTGGGTCGACAGATTTGATGATTATGCTTGGCCAGTACGTTGCAAACTCTTGGAGCCGCTCTTTTGTTAAATGCCCATAAGGACGAAAGGAACCTGTCCAAGGAGCCATATTGACACTGGAAAGCTTCTACAAATTTGACATAATGCGGGCTTTCAATTTGATACTTCACCGACAAAGTCTGAAACTTTGTAACATTAACTTGCAATGTTATTTTTACAGATTGGCTAAAATGTACAGCAAATCAGGATTTCAACCCTTAAAAAGTAAATGTTCACATCCCTTCTTTTTACTTAAAGTTATTTTCGTTTTTAGATAGGATGACTTTTTCCTACTCGTTTAAGTGTAATGTAGATCAGAATTCTCCTTTTAAAGGTCACAATAGTTTTAGGAGTTGAGAAGCCCTTGGTGTAAATACTGTAGACGTTGTGTGCAAACATTCTGTTAATTGGACCTATAAACAACTTTGTTGTACTATTTGGTGTAGTTAAAAAAATATCTATCTTAAAGTTACCTTTTAGAACATGAGACACGTTTCATCTAAAAACTACTTTTGTAGATTACAGGTTGAAATTTAGAACGGGTACATAAATCAGTTTCTGAAAATTAATTTTTGTGTGTACTTACATAGTCCATGATGTAGATATTGGTGTAGGCCTATGTTAAAGTTCATTTATTATTACCTCCAAGAATCAACACCAAAAAGACCTTTCCATTCTAAATATGTCATTTTACATGAAAATAACAAAATAAACGCATCGGCGACGGTCACCTACATTTATAAAAGATATATCGGTGATTTTAGAGAAGTACGCTGGAACGCCATGAAAGGATAAATAAACTGTGGTTCTTGGTCTCAAAAAACGTCGGGTGTGATTTTTGTCAAACTCGATCCAGATCAAGAGGTTCAGTGTGAATATAGCTTTTCCCGGCCAAAAGAGGGATCCCAATACTACGCGTTCAGCATCGATGCGGGTCAATTTCATAGAGCTGTTTAAGCACACAATTTTCTTCAAGAGCAAGAAAACCTAGCTTGATACATCAGGTAACGAGCCATATCCCCATGTGACGTATATTTTTTGGGATCATACTTGCATGTACCTATCTCTTGGTTAGCATGACAATCAGATAGAGTTTGAGCTGGTGATCTTTGTTTTTTAAGAAAGTTTTTTTTCACGCTTAAGCAAATTTTGTGCTGAAGCAGCATGTGAACTTGGCCCCTGCAGAACCTTTCACGGAAAACTCAGCCTCATGATGGCAGGCATCCTACTCAGTTTAATAGCATCCCTTATTTTACTCTTCGGAAGTCCGTGGCTACACTAATCCGTTACTCAACGGAGCTCGCACGACGCTCGTATCTCGACACTGTATCTCGAGAGTAGAATGTGCAACAGAGGTCAAAAATACACAAATTTAATCCTTAATACAATGCCTCTCTATCCTTGGGCATTTGTCACACATAAGCCCAAGGGCCATTTTTGCAGAGCCAGTCACAAAGGTCGACCACTCCAAGATCGCTTTTTTATACTGTCCAAAATGCTACTCTAGATATTTTGGTGTAATATCATCGACTGTATACAAACGTACAAAACTTTGCAGTTTAAGTTAGACCCCTTATTTTGTAAACGAGACAGCTAGGCTCTGACGTATTGATCTTGAGTCGATTAAGATTCCCAGTCAGATAAAAATCAGGTCCACCAGCAGATACTTGGTTTTTAATTTTTTTATTGCACAAGCTAAAATGATTCTATCAAAATGTATGTTGGTGACAAAGGAACTCATCCCTGCTTCCTGTTACCATAGTTACAACTCGTGAAGTCTAATAATTGCAGTTTGAAACATTTACACATACGTGCTTGTTACGGCCAATAATGTAATAATCGGTCCATAATGTAATACCGGCCGACAATGTAATTAAAATTGACCGATAATGTATACGCTTATTACATTATCGGCCTCCGTGTTATTGAATTATCGACCGGTTTGGCGTTTTTACATTACTTACTCGGCTGATTTTTATTACATTATGGGTTGCTTGAGTAATAACATTATCGGTCCATTTCTCTTACATTATCGGCCTGCATTACATTATCGGCCGGATATTACATTATTGGCCGTAACAGTGCAGGCCACGCCGCTTACACCAAAATGCTTATTTCACATTGAACAAACAGAAAATACAATTACTGGTTTACAGTAATTACATCCGTCATTTGAAATGTTGAAAAAGATAATCACCTTTTATATATCTATCAATAATTAATAGTGTAAGAAATCAGATGAGTCCTTACGAACGGGTGTCAAAAAATCCTGAGCCTTCCATCCCGTGGCGCGGTCACCATAACCGTGTCGAGAAGAAAATCATAACATTCACAATAAAATGGTAAATTTTTCGTATCTGGCTCACAATAAATTTTGTAAGTACATCTCCACTCAGTAAAACTCAATTGCTACACTTGAGACTTGAAACGTTTCAGCTTTTCATTTCCAGTTAAAACAAAAAAAACTCTTGCGTGTACAAACCACAATGAACAAGAAGGGCGCATGTGCAGTTCATGATCCCCAACCCTGAAAAAAAATTCTTACGTCGTATCAATGTAGAGAGTCAACGTTGATACAGTATATACTCCTGTCCCGAAAACGAAGAATCTTATCTAAAACCGAGGAACAAATGATCTGCTACGGACGCTACGACGCATCAGTTGGATATAAACACTCTCCTCTATCGATCTGCAGAGATTGTTGAACACTTTGATTGAAATACCATACAGCATTCACGATCACTACGAGTCCCCATTAACAGTTTGGAGGATTTAAATTATCTGCTGTAAAACGAGCAAATATTCTGAAATATAGCAGTTTTGAAGAATTACTTTCCAAGCACGTTGCCGATCATTTGGGGGGAAAAAAACATTACTGGCAGCAAGGAACTTTCATTTTTTATTTTACACCTGAGTTGTGACCCACAATGCACTCGATCAGGCCACAAACACTAACTTAGCAAAGGTTGAACTACGACAAAGCTGTTATCGCACTTCATTTGAATAGCCTGTCACTTGACAACAGGAGGGTTAGTGTCTTGGTACTGGCAGTTGTTGACTTCATTACAACTCTCAATCACAAATCAAACTTTTCAGTTCACTTGTTAAAATAAATGCAAAAACAGGAAATACGCCGAATCAAAACTACATACACGTATTGACATGATGATCCATTAACAAATTTCATGGTAACATTTATACACATGTACATGCGACACCTTTAAATATGATGTTGATTGTTAACGGATTACTTAAATATGTATCAATATAAACATGATGCCAAACAGAAAATATACATGTATAAAGCAGAATAATATACACAATTAATGACAAAGAAGACAGCTTTTCGACAGAAAAAAATCTGTCTGCCGTCTCCTAATAGATGGATCCCAATACGACGCTTTTAGCGTCGATCTGCGCACTTCCGCGTTTGAAAACGGGGCTGTATGTGTCAGCTTCAATTCTTAATACGATCAGACGATTGAAAGTAAGGAGTCAAGACACAAAATACATAAAGGTATGTTAGATTCAGACTTTTCAGGCGGCAAAGTTTTGTGGAAGAGTCTTTCAGGATGACTCCACACGTATAATCAAAAGAATAAATAACAACAATTGACCGCGAACTAACGTACCAGTGACGGTCGTGTATCTTATGCAGTGGGCGTGGTTTAAACTGAAGTGGCGTCACACTTATGAACCGGATATTCCATGTACTGTGTGGACTCCGCGGGCGCGCGCGGTCAAGTTAAACACGGAGAGCCTCGGTTTCGATTCAAATATGCGCAGACGGCGCTAATGTGAAATCAATCTATTGACTTAATCATCCAATCCCTTAATTACATTAAATATTTGGCATGTTAAGTAAAGAGTGAAATCTAATCTATGGCAATCAAGGATGTAAACGAGGGAACAGGGAGATAGTCTGTCCCTACAAATGTATGCATTACATACAATGCCTCCTCGTGCACATCCCAGACCAATGCTTTAAAGGAATCTATTATACCCATATTTTTCTCTCTTTCACAATATTTTCAGTTCTGGTGTCATTAAAAAGGGTCAGTTTATTTGTCAAGCACAAAGTGATGGATAATGTCAGGGGTGTAACCACTTCGGCACAAAATTTTTTTCAAGACTACTTTCTACCTAATCAAAAACTAACTTCTACCCAAACAGTTAAAAAGGAACATGTGTGAGGGTCTTCAATTTCGGCAGAGCTTTCTACTGACTCAATGTAACAGGGGTACACCTGTATCTGAAGTGACATCACAGTAATAACGCCTTCAGGAGTGAGATTAGCAACCGTCAATATAATTTCATGGTAAAACGATGGTACCATCATTCCCTCATAACTGATGGGAGTTCAAAGACACAGATATATTTCCAAAGCAACTGTTGGAGCCTGACATTCAATCTGTGGCCACTACATACACGAGAAAGTGACAGAAAAGTGCTCTTAGGCTAGTTGCATCTTCACTGTGATTCTGGGATCTTGGGGCCTCTTGTCCGAATAGCAACCAACTGATCATATTTGTTTGAGGGGATACAAAATCTCCCGAAAGGGATTTGCTGCAAACTACATGGATGATGCAAAAATTAGCCAAGCAACTTGTCATTAGTAATAGAATTGTCTCACCTGGCTTTTTTGCTTGAAACCCTGCTAAGCACAAATCCGTGCCGAGCGATTCCGTGACTTTTTCATCAATTGACAGGCGCTTTACTTTCAAAACTGGTTCTTTTAACAGTGTTCATGTATTTGACAAAAATTAAAAAAAAAGTAACAAAGATGAGGCAATCTGCAAGACTATGTCTGGAAGAAGACATGTCATACATCCCAGTCAACAGGTGGAGTGAGTGGAACTCGACGAGCAGACCGCCAAGGCAACATCCATGAGAAGACAGATCCTGATAGCCGAGAGAAATGAAGTAACAGGGGAAGATGAGAGAGTTTCTGTGCATACATGTATATATGTAGTCCATACACAGCCTCTCAGAGTGTTCCACAAAGGATGGAAAATAAGTAACTTTATCGTCAGCAAAGAAAATCAAAAGCATTTAGTCTTAGAAAGCAAGCAAATTCCAGAACTACGGGGAAGGGGCTGGACACCACATTTCACATGAGTAGGGTCCGATGATGTAAATGTATGACTATTACACTATCCCTTCAACCCTAACCCTGCTGATCCCAACAGGATCCAATAACAGTGGTCTTGCTCTAGTATGCTGAGTTCAGCGTGCTTTAGAGCTGTTGAATGTTGTTGGGTTCAGCAGCGTAGCAGTGCAATTAGGGTAGTGGGTTAGGATTAAAATCGATATCACTGATTTCACACTTTTAAAATCGGTCTTGCATAAATGTGCTGTATTGCTAATGGTTCTTCTGTTTGGAGCAATAAACAAGTCAAACAACATCCACGTGTGACAAATCTTTATTTCTTGTCATTCTGCACCCAGTGCACGGTAAGGCACGAGATGCCCAGCATGAACCACAAAACTGCATCTGGGCCAGAGACGGGGATTAGGCTAATCCTGAAGCCCGATTTCTAGTGCTGTGGAAATGGCCATCACAAAGAGCCAGGGATTGGACTGTCCAAGCTTCAATTTGGTCAAAAGTTACGATCAAGGTTAAGGGCCAGGCTGGATCACAATGGTAGCATATTGTGTGTACATCACACCCACCATGGATAGATTAAGTACAGTTACGGCCAGAATAAATGTTCATCCGATACACGATGTTGCGTTTGAGTGTGTGTATACATGTAGGGGGTTGACGACACGCTTTAAACGAGTGAGCGAGAACGCAATACACACAGCTGCAGTTAGCCTGATGGACCGTAACCAATGTGATCCGATTAAAGTCAACCACTATCCTCACGAGCCTTGCCCAAGCCCAAACAAGAACAGGCAGTAGGCAAACTGGAGTCACATTCACTTACTTATCGGCCCAGATTTAGCGCAATATGGTGGTGGTGAAGGAATAAGGCTACATCTGAATCTCTTGTCTAGAGCTAGGCCTAGGTCTTCTCTCCATTGGGAATGTGTGGAGACGCGTAGACAACAGACCTAGCGGTAGCTCGGGAGGCCCTTTTCGGGCACGGCCTAAAATACAGTTTGTTACCTTTTCCGAAGACTTCTTGAAGGAGCATCATTTTGGATTTCTGATCCTTGGTGCTCCTGTAACCATTCACGCTGCCACTTTTGTTCTTCACATGTTCCACGGCAGTTTCATCCTCAAATATTGCTTGAAACTGAAAACAAGCCAAGCACAAGTCAACGTTAATGATAATCGTTCAGAAAACCTACAGAAAAACAAGAGAAAATGTACGCTTTAGCAAGTACCTGATATTTACATAAGGAAAATGAATCTGATGGGATTTTTCAGCCGCATGTGGAAAAGGGGAATAGGCTTCCTTAACTTGTGCATCACGAGGTCCAAGTATTTTGTAAGAAATCTTCCTGAATCCTGTTTAGGAAGCCATAACACATTCTCTGTAAGGTTTATATCTTCCAATGTGAAAAACTTGTGGATGATTGATGATGCTACTATTCACCACATCATGTTCCATTTCAATGGCACAAATCCGTGCTGACCGGGGAGAGGGGGGGGATGGTACATGCCAAATCCTCAATTGCCTGGCCATGGAAAGTGGTAACTTTGAGGGTGGAGGTGGCAAACCACATAAAACTAGGGACGCTGTTCACAATAAACATTTCTTTGCATGCTCCTGTGTGTAAAATGGAAATGGTACTTTTTAACAGCTTTTTGGGACTGTTTGATCCCAGTTTTATTGGTAATATGCAAATTGTGGACAGTTGAAAAATACCACATCCAAAAGGTGGGCATTTGATACGAGTATGTCAAAGTGCCGTTCCCTGGCCAAAAAATGGGAGAGATGTGCACGTACATCACAGTCCCCCCTGTAATTTCATGCCATTTCTCATTCTTTGCCAAACCATCCATAACCAAACCGTTGGCTGTAGACTACCTTTGGACAGACTACATGTCAATAGCATTCCCATTCTAGTCTCCACTTTCCAATTTGACCAGGATCCCTACAGATGCACAGTCACTCAACAAACACCTGTACCAGTTTTCCTGTAGCCGCCTACATGTACATGAACACGGACTCTGAAGTCAAGCCGAAGAAATATCTCGGGCCTACCGCTCTGAAAATCGAATGGTGGTTTATCTCACCTGATCACAGCCAATGGCTATCACAAACAAACCAAAAAGGAGGGACAGAACCACTAAGATGATGCTATGTGCTCTGTCAAATAGAACAAAATAAAATGGTGACATTGTGTGACTAAATCTCCTCAGGCTATTCCAGATCAAGACAACGTTGGAATTTCTTAAAGCAGCCTTTAACAGCCCTTACTTTTGGGGAGAAAGACAGCACTTTTTCGGGGCAAAAAGTTAGGTGTTTTTTTTTTTTTTTAGAATTGTTTTTATTTTTGCTTGAAAGAAACAATATCTGACTTATATGCAGTTTATTTTTTCTCAGGACCAAGGGAGGGAACTGTTGCACAGGTGTACAACGTATGATGGATTTCCACGATACTCCATAAATCAAAAGAATGAATAGCCAGACGTCTTCCAGGCTGCATTCTACAACGATCTTTACCAAACTTACTACATTTGTGTGTACAAGTACACTGTACTTACATTCTGGCATTTTTGTGTATCATGTTCTGACAAATGGGACAGTCATAGGTCCAGGAAATAACGGTGACCATAATGGCATACAACCCTGCAACACCTGTTAGAAAATTAACAAAAACGACTGTCTGAACCTACAACATGCACTCGTATGGTATGTTGCTTAGGATTTGAAGTAAACGTACTTGTATGCTCGGGGTGCTGATCAAGCTTGATCTAGGTTGATCAGGAGGGGCATTTCTGTCCACGCAATATTACTAAGCAGATACATGTACATACATTTAGAAGCTTCATACATCAAATTCCTCATTACTGATGGAAATATTTCAAGCTTTATCGTGAAGTATTCAAATGACAACCTGCTATTACAAGTTACCTTGTACACCTGTAATGTTTCTAAATTCTGGCTGTGATTTTCTGCAATTCATCTGTTTTTCCTCCCACCATGCATAATTAAACGAACAAACAAGCAATGACAATCTGCCATATCATTAGAGTTGGCAGTACAGGTATATTGACTCTAATTAGTACAAAGTCCACAGGACCTTGCCAGAATGTTTGTTGTATCTACACGTGAGCTGCACACAGGTACATGTACATGTGAGCAAAGCACTACATGCACAGTAGTTTTCCCATTCTCTGCACATGAACACAATTCACTCTGATACACAGTGAGTGATCCTGCTATGTCACGGCCATAGAGAGCGGAGAAGATGTATGCCATATGCATGTACTGGTACTCAAAAAAACGACATTCTCTGTTGACTTCCAACTAGTCTACCCAATACCTCCATGCCAACTGTTTCAATAAGAGGAGATGGCCAGTTGGAACAATTATCACAAAGACGTCTACATAACATAAACGGATTTTGATCCACAAACAGATTTCAATCCACAAACAGATTTCAATTCACAAACAGATTTCAATCCACAGATTTCAATCTACAAACAGATATCCACAAACTGATTTCAATCCACAAACAGATTTCAATCCACAAACAGATTTCAATCCACAAACAGATTTCAATCCACAAACTGATTTTAATCCACAAACAATATGGGTACCATGTATACATGCACATGTGTGTTACAAATACTGCAATGTACATGTATACATGTATAAAACTCTCAGACTTGTTGATGTTTACTTTTTGAACACTGCTTACATGTATACATGTCAAGTGTTCCAACTTTAATACATGCACATGGATGGGATACATGTAATTTGGTACATGTACAGTCGAACCTCGTTAATAAAAGATTCTGCTTAAAATAAGGACTTTTTACTTCCCAATCCTTTGTTTTTTTCATTGTTTTCATTCCTGATAATACAAGGCTCCTGTTAAAGCAAGGTAATTTGCCAAGTCTGAAGGACCTCTTTGAGGTTCGACTGTGCACACATGTATACTATCACTTATAAAGTACATGTACATGTATACTGCAGTGATAAAAACTATATTTTTACTTGGGTTCAAGTAAATATTTTTAGAATTTTAGAACTAAATTGTATAATTTTTTCCAGGCAAAAGTGAGATAAAGAAGGACTTCCACACTAAGAAGCCAAGACAGCCGGTCATCCAGTGGATGATGGACAGGCTGTTCGGACATGAGACCAAATATAACATACTGACTAGTGACTGCTTTCTCTTCCAAGACTTTTACCTGATTTGAGGTTGTTTTTTTTTCATATTCCCTTGCTTTTTCTTGAAAGACAAAGAGAAAATCATTTTACTGAGAAACTGACTTCCAGCATGGATTGGTACCCTGATCCAAATTATCTACATTCTAAACCTCTTCAGCCCCACCTGCATCCAACCTAATTGTAAAAATACTTATACTCACCAACATAAAATAGAAACTGTATGAAATACTTTTGGTTGAATTCACCGACACAGTTATTGATCCTGAATAGAGAAAATATGCAAGCATACAATTACAGAAATCAAAAGAATTCAAACATCCTTTGAAAAGTCACCAAACCCACACAAGATTCATCTTATGAGACAGATCAAAAACTTATCAAGAGTTAAATAATTATAAAGATGAACAAAGAAATTGACTGGAGTGGGATTTGAACCTGTGACCTCCAGGAGTCAAATAAAACCTCCAGACTTAACTTAAACATCGAAAACAGGAGCAGTAAATACGTACATGTACATTGTACGCTTCAAGCCATTGATCTCTGCTACTGGTACATTGTACACCTCTATACAGGACAATCCACAAATCATCCACAGGGACTTCAGCACATTTCAACTTATTACTATCCGTTACCAGTTTTTTTCGGACCATTTATGAAGTAAATTCATTCTGACCACCTTTTCCAGCCTAATTTCCCCACTGGGGAACCTGGTTACAGGGCATGACGACGAAATGACAACATGTCTTTATCATAATTAATTTTGAACGGCAAATGACTTGAGACGGACCTCACAATGTACCCCTTGATTACAGCTCTGTTCTGAGGTTTCCACAACGGGAGACTTACCATGGACAGTGGTGATCCATTTTACGTATACATCGCCGGCATATCCGGCAGTGATGAGCCCGTGGAGGTCGGTAGGCTTCACACTTTTGACAAATTGACCAACTGATACCATCCTACATGTATGAAATGCACAAAAAAAGACTACTAACATGCCGCGAAGAGATAAAACTGGATTAGACATCACAAATGTGCACTTAAGAGGGGTGTGGCACCTCCATCTGCTTCTCTTTACATCGTTAAAAGGTAAATTCTCATTGCATCTGGCAAAAAACACAAACCACAATGAAAGCAAATACTGTATAGAACATCCCTACTTAAAACCACTTGAAATCCTGAGTCTTGGATAGCACTTTGCTAAATTCCGCATGTACATGTATTTGGATGACAAATCAGAGCATGGATCGAAATTTTAATTTTACGCAGAGTTAACAAGAACGGTTTCAAGAAGCACTGCAAGGCATAATTTTCAAGAAGCACAAAATGAGAGAACAATCTAAGTTTCCTGTTGGCATTTTCTCAAATTCCCTATAGATATGTGTATATATACAATAATGCGCCTGAATATGGCGACACCTGTAAAGGTAGGTACCAACATGTAATCATTAGCATGCATTTACCATATCGGTACACCAATGCTGCCACAATGCAACATTTGTGATTTCTTCGGTAAACTGTACCTTTGTGACCAATTTCTTGGGTACCTGTCCGGCTTTCATGCCGGAGAAGTCCAGGTTAATGCTGGGCAGGGGAACAATACCTATATGCATAAGAATGACAGAGACCAAACATGCCGAAGGTCTGATTCACAAACATTAATGGAAGAAGTCAGATCTCTTAAGTACGGATGTATTGTCAAATACAGCAACCATAGACCACCTTATTCATTCTAAATATGTACAAATTACCATAATTGCCAAAACATGTATTTTTTTTGCATGTACTCGTATATAATTATTTTTTCATGATTTCATGTAGAATGATTGCAATACATATACAATACATGCATGACATGTATGATTGAATTAACGCAGTCATATAAAGCAAGCCTTACTGATCCCGACAATGGTACCAACAGCAACATGGACCAGGAATATTCCAAGCCATTTTTTTAATTAGGAAATATAACCACATGCACAATGTAACAGAGACAAGCCACTCACGAAGATCAGCATACATGTATACATGTGCATGTAAACTCAACATTTTGGTTTTAGTTTTACGTTTTATGCCATGCATGCTTTATGCAGTGTACATGTATGTAAAATGCTCACCGGGATCTGACAAGACGGCTCTGAGATGTGACAGAAAGATCATGAAAACAATGATGTTGAAAACCAATCCATGGAAGGCCCCCCATATACTGCGAATAGAAAAAAAAAGAAAAACCAGATTTGCAAATATTGACGTTTCCACATTACAGGTGTTTTTTTAAACCATGCCTTGCTGCGCACTGCAAAATCTGACTGTTAAAACAAATGAAATTTCAAGTCGAAGTCCAAGGGAGGATGAAGAAGTCAGGCTACAGAGAGCTGGCAAACATTTTGAAACGTTGTTCTGAAATTCAGGGGTGAGATTGACCAATGATAAAAATAGTTGACAACAGCTGAAAAAAGGCACCACAAAGCTGAACTGTGAAAATCTCCAATACTTTTGTACACAGCCAGTGATGAAAAAAAGTTGAAATCAAAAACAAAAAAGCTGAAACCAGCTAACAAGCTGGAAAATCTCACCCCTGGAAATTGCAATTTACATGTTTGTAATTTGATTTATTTTCATACATGGATATGCACCTTTTTATACGGGCTCTGTTTCATAACCAAAATGAGCCTCAATTTCATTATTTATACATGTACAAGAGAATCACAGAATTAAACAGGCACACCCTAGTCTAACAGTAAGTTCCTTCAGATGCATTAAACAGATCTATGTATAGGTCTATGCATATGGGCATGACAAAATATGAAGTATGTATATGTAGTTGATATCAGTAAATGTAATTTCAGCATATTCAGCATTGGAAATGGTGGCATATTTGTTCCTTTGTAAATGCACTGAAGCATGCGTAACCTTTATATCAATATTTCAACAGGCAAACAGGAATCTACATGTAAGTCCCTGTTAGTGTTACATGTACATCTGACCTTTGTAATTTGACATTGAAATATCACCAAAGTCGCTTTCAAACTACATACATGTATTACTATTTGTTTGGCTGGTAATTTCAATTAATTCATCAACTCTTGGAAATGAGAAAATGTGTTCTGAACTTACAAAATCCTACGTCAGATGTGACGGGGACAGGGAAACAAAATGAACTCCTAATTTCTGGAATGACCCATGAACATGTACACTGTAGTAACAGTGGTTTGGCATGATTTCTCTCATGGATAAGCCTGGCTCATGGTAAGCTTTTCAGATAAAATTTGGTTTGGGTTCAGTATTCCTCAAACATGAACATGTACGTGTATCTTCATTAATTTGCCGGTTGAAGAAATTTCGATTTTATGGGAGAAGGGTTGCATTATTAATGCAAAGGAGTGCTATTCTTATTGTATACTCCGCGTTTTGGTCGATATTTGAGTTCCAAGTTCTCATGAGTAAATGAGTTGACTGGAGTCATTGCCAGTAGATGACTTGAGTCTCCCATCAGAAACCTGACTTGAGTGAAAATTACTTAGTCTCCAGTCTGAAAAATAAAAGCAAAGATTTTTGCCAAAAAAAAAAAACAATGTGCAAAAATGCTTAGAATTTTCATTTCGTTTAGCCTATGATGTATGCACATGTGCGATTATGAAGAGTAAGATGAGGCATGATTGACCGCATGTTAGCAGTAGGTCTACGGTACTTACATGTACATTGTACCTTACTACCTTGAGGTAAGTTTAACAATGCCAATAATGACTTGTTTTTATTCACCGTATTGTGCTGATATATTTGACTCAACATGCTCAAGCTTGATTACAGCATGGAGGAAGGAAAACAGACAGGTAGGGTCTATTCAGCGAAATCTTTCAAAGTGAGCAAATTTGAAATTTGCACACCTTGTGCAATTTTTGTAAGGTTGAATACATGTAGGCCTACCTACAGTGACCTACATGTATTTTAAATCTGCGCAGATAGCATTGAGCGTACCATGTAATTCTTATCACGTGTGCCGTTTTTTTGACAAAATCTGTGGTTTTGCAAAAATTAAAAAATTCAATTGTGCGCTCAAACTTAAAATTTTGGCCCTTTGAAAGATTGCATCTATAAACAGGGCCTACTTACATGTACTCAGCTTTTCTGCCTAATGACTCAACTTGAGTCACTTGGCCTGCATGTACAATGTACATTACGATTGACTCGCAAACATTTGCAACTAGAACTACTTACAACTCTGGAACATATCGAAAAGTAGTACTACTACTAGGCCTAGTCCTTATGAATGCTTCAGAAACAACCTGTTAGCCTACCAACCATGATCAGATTCAGATTATGACCAGAGACTGACACTAGAGTAGAAACGTGACTGATCGAGACCGAGAGAGCGCCACCAGTATGACTGGGGCCCATCATGCACGTGATGCATGGGCATACACCCTGAACTGTGGGGCTCGACGGGAGTGTGACTGCCGTCGAACCGGACCATGTTACGGCCACAGTTCTCGGGTGCCATGCCATTGGGCAGGCATGTTACTTGTTAAGTTGTTAGGCCCCCGGCCCCCCATGCGCTCGAAAAGTCCCTCAAAATGCATTGCATTTTCATGATTTCCTTGTCACACGTTACCTGTCGAACATGGTCGGAATTATAAGCCATTCTATCACAACGTAATCCGAGTAAAGTACCACAAAGTAAGTGATAAAAAGGCACACAATGCCGCACGGGTCGTTCCGGAAAACAACCATTTTTCAAATGTCTGCTCCCTGAGCTGCTCTCACATCATTGAATGCGATTGTGTCTGTTGTCACTTCCGCAAAGCAAGCTAAGGAACCCGACTAAAGTCTCTCCACTTTTTGCATCACATCAAAAGGGGCAGTCACTTCGCTGGCTTCATCCGGCAGGCAGCTTGTACGCGTACAGTGTGCAACTAGTTGTATGTGTATTTGTCAGCCGTAGCCAAGTCATTAGGTTACAGCCGCATCCGTAGCTGCTATCCCAGAATTACTTGGCTACGACTAGATTAACTGTAGGCTATGGGTTCTCCAGCCCTAGCCCAGCTGCAACTTTTCTTCGGGTGAAAGGTCGTCTCCAAGAGATACATTTTTCAAAATGGCGACGTTGATAGACGAGGTACAATCCAGATCGTTAAGGAAAAGATTACGTTAAGTTTTGTTGTGTAAGTGGAATTCTTTCAACAAGACAAGCAAGATGGCGATGGAGAAGCAAGCTGTGATCAAGGAGACCCACCATCGGTCCGTTACAGCCATTGGTTATCATCCGATGCGACGTGAAATCTTGGCGGGTTTCGAAGGTAGGGCCTACATCATACATCATTACATGTACAGATGTAGGCCTACACGATGCATGATGTACATGTAGGGCCCTAGCCTAGGCATGCTAGGCCGTACTGGTCACTGCTGAGTACTGGTACACTGGTAGGCCTAGACTGCATGCCTAATTCTGGGTGTACACAAAATGATTGGGGTAGCCTTAGACCCATAAATAGGGCCCGACTAATACTCCACTGTCGGATACTGGTTCCTGTCCCGATTCATTGGGATTTCTTTCTAAAAGTTTTATCCGGGATATCCGGTGGCAAAGCATAGGCCTAACTAAACATCTGCTTGTTTTTATGAGCTGAAATTGCACTGGTACGTTCACTACATACAGGGTAAACTTTCCACCAGGTGGCTAATTGCAGAAAACTCTCCGTTTTCTCGTTCGGAGGAATTTTGGCCTGTCTTGTACATTACACAGACTGCTTTGTATGGTTAAGTAATGGTAGCCTGTCTCATGTACATGTATGAGAGCCTGTTTAGTTTGCACCCAGACTTCAGCACTTACGAATTTTGTTCAGATCTGTGAGAGAACCTGTCGATCTAAGTACTCGAGTCGTGGACAATCACGGCTGTTTTGTGTCGCAGCTAATTATAATACACAACGCCCTTGGCTGATGCCCTGTTCAGTCACACATGGCTTGCGGCAAATCATTGGTAGCATGGATTGCTCTCTGTGACGTGACATGAAAGTGACGAAACAGCCGTCAGTTTTGTCCAAGTGGGACAAAATTCGTCTGGCGTGGGAAAACGGCAAAAAAGGCAACATTCTTTTCCTCCAAACAAGAAAAATGTGAGTTTTCTGCAGTTAGCAACCTAGCAGAAAGCTTACCCTGTAAGTAGTGAATGTACCGGTGCAATTTCAGCTCATAAAATCAAGCGGATGTTTAGTTATGCCCCCCGAAATCCCAGATAAATCTCTTCAAAAGAAATCCCTATGAATTGGGACAGGGCCCAGTATTTGACGGAGGAGTATTCTTCTGGCCCTGTTTACAGGACTAGGGTAGCCTAGGCTTATTCAATTGTCCAACAATGTCCGAGTGGCTTGGACCCTACAAATCGCCTTTTAATTTTATTATATTAATATTAACATTTGGACATTGTCAAGTGACTAGTCAGGTACTGAGGAAGTAGACATGGTAGGGTGCTTCCATTAATTTATTTCACTCAAAATAGCTCGTACCCCGGGTCAAAATCCTCAGAATTCACCTCTAAAACTGTCCTTAAAATGTCTACTGCGCCTGTCTATGGACTAACTTGAGGGAGAATCAGAGATTCCAATAAACTTTCTACACATCTTAAAGTAACACCACCCACACGACACATGTTCAGCTGCAGTGCCTGCACAGCAGCAATTAAGCAGACCTGTGAACTTGTCAAATATCACAGGTTCAAAGTTTCACCAGCAACTGGCTTCATTGTATTTTCCTAAAAAACGCTGACACAAAATCGATGCCATCTATTTACTAAATTCTCCCTTGTGCCTGAACGAGTGCATGGCCAAGATGTAACAATATACATGTACATGTATGATGATTCTTTATGTACCCCTAGGCCTTACATGTACATGTAGTTGATGCTGCACGAAACACTCTGCACTTAGCCTATTAAAGTTTTAGTTGTCTTTTTCCAGATGGTGTGATAAAAACATGGGAGGCAGAAGGTTCCAAGTTGGTGTTAACGACTTACGAACATCAAGGCTGGGTTACCGACTTCTTGTACTGGTAGGTTAAGGGGTGTGCTGGAACCAACTACACTACGTACATGTAGATTTATGAGTGTTGTTCAGATTTGACAATCTAGCCAATCAAAAGTCAGTCACCGGTCTAGATACAGATACTGTACATGTAGGTCGCTTACAAACTTGTATGTGTAGAATACCGGTAGCAGGCTAATTCATCCCGAAGGCCCCATGTACATTGTAAACACAGGAATGGCTGGCAGGCTAAACTGCTAAGCAGTTCCTGAATCTCTGCTCGCAGATGCCAATATAAACATGAATAATGTAGAAATGTACCAGTATCCAATCCATCCTTTCTTTTGTACACAGACTGGTACATGTACTGTACATTATAACGTTCTGCTCCTTGAACTTTAACTTGATTGGTGGACATACGTGCACACCCTCCTGATGCAGCAGATATAACTCTGCGTTGTCAGTCCGGGTTGTCATAATGTATGCAAGGTTGCAGGAAGAAGACAAAATGTTCATGGACCTCTCACAAAGTGCATGCAGAGGCACGGTAGTCTGGTCAGGTGTGAAATGATTTAAGACAAAATGTTCATGGACTCTCACAAAGTGCATGCAGAGGCACGGTAGTTCGGTCAGGTGTGAAATGATTTAAGACAGCGCGCCATTGTACCAGGTAACAGTTCATTTTAATAACTTTCACTTCAACCGAATGGCTTTTGATTGGCTCTTCCAGATGTGTGACGTTTCCAGTACAGTTCTGCGTTACATGTACATGTATAATATATATGTAGCCTACATGTACATGTACATGTATATATGTTTCCAGTACAGTTCTGCGTTACATGTACATGTATAATATATATGTAGCCTACATGTACATGTACATGTGTATATGTAGCCTACATGTACATTGTTCATGTATATATGTAGCCTACATGTACATGTACATGTATATATGTAGCCTACATGTACATTGTTCATATGTAGCCTACATGTACATGTACGTGTACCAAGTTAATCAGCAGTCAGGCCATTCAGTAGCTTTTCTTTTTACCTCCATTGCTGGCCCCTCTGTTTATGTTGAACGCAAGACTATCAGTTCTGCAGACTTAATACCAAGTATTTACATCTAATGCATTCATTGTTTCCTAAAGGCATGATGGCAAGGTTATGTTCTCCTCGTCCAATGATGGCATGATTGTCGCTTGGGCATCCGGTGGTGGGGTCTATGATAGGATTAAGGTAAGGTATAGTAACAGACCTACATGTGTGTGAAACTTAAAGAATATATCCAAGGCTCCCGTACTTGTATACAGTGTAAGGCCCCTGATTCACTCTACTTGTGTACGTGTATGCATTGTGCTTAAAACTTCTTCCATTATTTTTCAGGATCATTTATAAGTCGTGCGTTGACTTGAACAACCTGGGCTCATGCCCAACTCTTCCAAGATATTTTACCTTTTAAATTGTTTTCTCTCCCTCGTGGAGCAGCACTTTGGATGTTCCGGTATGGTTTGATTTCCCATCTGAAGGACTGAACAGCCCTTGTGGATTGTTCTAGGGTTCTTTCATATCCATCAACTTCACTGACAAATGTTATAAGCTTTTAAGAATGTACCAATTACATGTGCTTTATGGCTGTTGTTTAGTATTGCAAGATAAGGAAAACCTGCCAAATGAAACTCTGTTGACCCATGGTTTTACCAGGTGGTACCCAACACCATGAAGTGAGCTTTGTATGACCTCGTGTTAAATTTATGTGAATTCTTTCCTGATACATGTATTGATAGTAATGCTCTTGCCGTTCCCGTAGATTGGTTCTCCCATCTATTGCATGGCTTTGAATCAACGTCGGCACCAACTGGTCTGTGGACTCAACGGCTACATCAGAGTCTACGGCCTTGATGAAAGTAAGTCCGTCCATTAGGGGGCCATCCTTTAAGAGGACCAGAGTCCAGGCCCTGCAAGATACATGTATTTAACCAGTTAACGTCGGATTTTCTTTCCTGAAAAAGCGGCAGGGGGTGGGTTTTTTTCTCAGCAAATTCTTTGAAAATGCAATATTTTTATGATGCAACCAAGCACAATGCATTAATACGTCAGCCGTGGATATGAAAAAAAATCTTAAATGAGTGTACACAACCTCCGTGGATCAAATGAGGAGAATTGTGCGGATTTACACATCATGCGTCAACTGGTTAAACTGCTGGCATTTTGAGAGCCATCTGGACATCTGTATGCCCCTTCTGAATTTTTAATGTGTTTTTTTGGGGGGGGGTGGTAGCTCAGTATGAAACGTTGCAGAGCAGAGCCAGGTATTAGCTTTCTTTTTTCGTCCTAACCACCTCTTAATAGTTCATAGACCGTGTAGACTGGACATTGTTCAATAAGATGATCTTTTACCCGAGATTCTCCACATTTCCATGCTACATTTTCAAAGGGTTTCAGGCATGCACATGTATACATGTAGACATTGACCTACATGTACATTACTTCAAATTTAAGTTGGTAAAGGTGGCACCCTCCTTTCTTGATGACTTTTGTGTTCGGGCAAGTTATCAGAGAAAAAAGGGGAAAACCCAATAAATGTTTAAGATTCGTAGATGACCTCAACCTGAGGTTTAACCTTCAGGAACATTCCCTCATCACAGTATTGATCGTCCATCTTTCAGAACGAGAGAAAAGTAGTATAGTGCAGGTGGACAGTCCCTACATCTCCAAGGAGCATACAGACATCGTCAAGTGCATTGTGTGTCTGGAGTCACGAGTGTATTCAGCAGGGTAAGAACAGGAACCTTGAATGCTGAAAAGACAGTCAAACTCACAAATCTGGCCGTAGAAGATGAAATCTCTGTGACCTTAGTGTAAAGTTCAAATTCTACAGTTTGGCCTGATTTGTCTTGGGAAAATGAGAATTTGCAAAGACATTTTGTGCAGTTTCCATAAAATTTGTGTAGAAATGACTTACAAGATACAAACGTATGTGTTGAAAAAATCTTAAGTGTCACCCATGCATGTTCCACATGTGTAGTGTGGAGTGGAAGTTCCTTTGTTCTCCTGCTGCTAAGAAAACTGTGGGAAAATTCCCCCGTATCCCCCCAAATGAGACTTCCTTCACGCTCGATATTTGACAGTGATTTCCTAGATTGTTCCTCTTAATTTCTGCCACGGATAGCCCTCAGCAAATATGTAAAGAAGTATACGTGCATACATGTCCCCCTCCTCCAAGTCAGAGAAGAAGAAGTTTGAAAACTCTTTAGGGTGAAAAGTAAATAACGAACACCAGCCTTTAAATATACTTTAATTTCTAAAGCAGCTTGACCTGTTTGGATTCTTGTAGGTTTGATTCCAAGTTGATCATCTATGATTCTTCATCGTATCCAGGAAACAAGGGCCTTACTCCAGTCTTCTGGTGAGTCCAAACTAAAGGGAGTTCATGTCATTTGCGCATGATGTATTCCGAAGTGTTGTACATCAATGTCTTCCAGAGAGCTAATTACAACATGTACATAATATTTGAGAAAAAAACAGGCCTGAGATTTCTCAGCTTTTTAGCTGATTTCAGCTTTTTTGTTTTAGATTTCAGCTTTTTTTCCTCACCAGCTGTGTACAAAAGTACAGGAGATTTTCAAAGTTCAGCTTCTTTATGCCTTTTTTCAGCTGTTTTCAGCTATTTTTACCATTGGTCAATCTCACCCCTGAAAAAAAGGAAACTACTACGGTTGACTTGAATTCATGTCCAATTACCAGCGTCATGTTGCTATAAACAAAGACATGACAGGTAGCAGTAGGTAGGACCATTATCAATGAGATTGTGTTCATGTATGTGAAGGTGAGGAACGTTTTAATCTTGGCTTTTTACCAAATCTGCCCCAGAAGCTTCATCATACCAAGTAAGTTACAGTTGTTCAGTACCTGATGTGGAGCAAATTCTGTATGTTGAAGACTTTCTGCTTTCAAATCCGCCGTCCACCTCCAGTGACTTTGACTTGGGCAGATTTAAAAACAAAGACTTGATCCTGTGCTGCGACGATTTTCGATGAATGGGTCTGTTGTGGTGAAAAATGGAGCCTCAAAGTAGTGACGAAAATTATATACCACTTCTGGCAGGTGCTCTAATACGGCTTGTGTGCACTTCTCATGCAAAGACACCATGATTTGAGGTTCATGTTCACAATTTGCAGTATATCCACACAAACATCAGTGCAAGTACATCTTTCGTTTCCTGCGTTGATCTAAGAGTACATTACACAGGCATGATGGGCAATGTTCTCTGCACTCTCTCAGTTGAAGTTATTCGCAAATCCTTACATGTCACCCACAGGTGGACATGTACATGCGCCTACAGTAGACTGAACTTGCACGTGTAAATGCGCGGCTCTTCAAAAGAACTTTGACAGAAGAGTTGATCAGCCGGTTGGGTATTTCATAAAGCCAAGGTCTTTCGGGAACAAAGTGTGCGTGTGAGTCAGCGTATGGCTGCGCGATGGGACAGACTATCGCGTGTGTGTAGCTGCTGCAGAATGGCCTTGTACTTGGCCAGCCATTTGGCCAGACTTCCTTTAGAATTCAAGTTCTTGTGTGTTAGATTGTAATATTGTTAATTCAAATACTACAGTTTTTTATAATGCTCCCGTGTTGTGGTCGAGACCATCACAAGACCAGACACAAGACCAGACATGGGTAACAGGTTGAACAGTGACAAAGGAATGCTTTTGTTACAGTTCAGATGAATAGCCTGTGTCTTGAATTCGGACTACAGGTCCTGTGAAGTCTTGTGAAGGTCTTAAGTTTTCTCGACTTCAACACTGTCATTTTCCTGGAAACTAATTGGAGGGCATTTTCATGTAAATTTGTCTGTGGATCTTTGTAATGCATGCCATATTCATTTTGATGTATTTTCCTCCCGTGTCATTGCTGTATTCTGCATCTTTCATGGATTTTCTTTGTTCCCACATGTAGCTCAGACATGTCAGACAGTAAGTTAAATAATTACACGTCATTTTTGAGTGGGCACATGCAGTAACAGATCCAGAGGTTGGCATTCGGACGGCATAGAAATTCAGTGCAAATTATACATAGTACAGAGTTAGTGTTCTCCAAATTTAAAAGCACACATCCTACCAGCAAAATTGAAACAACTTGATGAAACGGTTCAAAAAAAAACTTTGAAGAAACTTTTTTCAGAATTTTTAATTTTCTTTCAGGTTTGTGTACCATATACATACTGGCAGGTTTCTTTACTAACACGTACATTCCATTATTAATCCACGATGCCTCTCCGTTGCACATGAGCAGGAGTCATTTCTAAAAAAGTGGAGTAAGACAATTTCAGCAGGTTGGAAAAACTCTAAATAATGAAAAAAAAGAAGATTAAGCATCAGACCCCAGTCCTCTAAAAACCCTCGTAGAAAACACCCAGCGGAGAGTATTCATACAATACTAAAGCCTTTGCTTGATAAAATAAACCTGCTTTTAAGAGGGTGAATTGCTGTGAGTTTGTTCCAATCATGCCAATGATGATCTCAAAATATACGGGTATGGCTTCTGGCCTTCCTTGGGTTCTGTCAAATTTAACCTTGCTGTGATGCACTTGTATAAAAGCACTTTGTGTCCTTAGTGGAGTTGTTACATATACACTGTATGCACATGTGGTATGTACACTTCTTAATATTGTATCTATAGATTTGATTGTTTGAATTCCTTCCCTGGCCAGCTGTGTATTGTGTTAGATTTGTACTATACTGGAGATTTATTTCATTTATGACAGATGAAGCACTCACAGATTTTGTTAATCTGTGAAACAACCCTTGCAAGGGGGAAAAACAGCTTAATCTGTCTTTCACAGGTGGCTGAATTTCCTTTCATTTTGGCTTGCCTGCATTTATTTTCTGAGTCCATCTTTTCCCGTTTACATGCTTCATGATATTAGGTCCTTCTTGTGCTTTATGCAGGAGGATACAACATAGGCTAACCTGTGAAGTGCTTAACTGTAACTTACATTTTTACCAGATGCACGTAATGTCAGCCTGAAGTGCCACAAATTAGATCCAGAATCTACAACATGTTGTAGTACACCGTGGTATTAATTTGAAGTAACTCCTGATCTTTTACCGCAGCAATCCCAAGGCTCATGATGCTGGCATATCCTGTCTTGTGCTGATCAAAGATACTGAGAATAACACCTGGTAAGATTTTGGGCTTCATTTTAGTCGGTGGATTATTTAATCTACACAATGTACTCTTGCAAAATCTCTGCTGTGTTCATGAATGTACACTGAAAATCACATTAAGGTTTTTCAAAAGTGAGAACGTAACATATTTCATGAATGTGTTCAGTCGTTCAAGTACAGAGAAAGGTTTTGGAAATGGGAGTCAGATAAAGACACACATGTACTAATATCACAAAATAATATCTATGTGGATCTTCTCGCCATTGGAGTAGTGGTTCTCCCTGACTGTCCGATCCTTTTCCCCTTTGCATGACACTGAGGCTGCCTCCATATCTGTTGTGTGGAGCTAGAGCTAGGTCTTCACTCCATTGAAAGTACGTGGAGACGCGCAGACAATAGACCTAGCAGTAGCTCTGGAAGCCTGTTTTGGACACGGCCAGAAATACGTCTGTGCTGAATAAGTGTTAATAACTTTTTGTTTTTAGAAAGGTACTTTGAAAGGATTGACTTGAATTCATGTACATTGTAACAGGATTAATTTAAAGCATTTGGATATAATTTTTGTGTACGAGACTTCAAATAGTAGTCATTAGGGGAATTAGTGCCATGTACGCAGCTGTTTTGGAGGGGTTTTTATTACTTGATCTTTCAAAGTTGGTCTACGTACTGTAGGGTTCAAAAGGACTGAAACCCATTTTTTTAGAGCATCTTTCACAATTTAGTATTCCATTCTATTTGTATTTAAGCATATCGTTACTGAAACCCATTTTTTTAGAGCATCTTTCACAATTTAGTATTCCATTCTATTTTTATTTAAGCATATGGTTACTTTGCTTCTTTCTACCGGTATTTTAGTTGATGCGGAATAGAAATGGCGTAAATGGTCATTTTGCCTGTTGAAACTTTTGGTCTACATGTCCGGGTATCGCATGACATTTATTTGAAATAACATATACGTCGTTCTAGTTTCTTATCATCTCTGTTCTGTGCATGTGTTTGCCTACGTGCTGCATATGCAGTATCAGTTCATGGCAGAATCTTTTTTCTTAAAGGGGCAAAGTAATTTCTCATTTGCAAAGGGCACTCCTATTAGAAAATTAACATGTCAATGGGGACATTTCATCGGACATTGAGGCAAAGACCGGGGCATCAAGGCAATTACACCTCCAATGGCTCAGTGAAACTCCTGCCCTATTCTGTTTGTGTACATATGCAAATTAATCATTGCAAGGCTGAAGCCTGATTGGTCTTCTGTTGTGTATTGCTCATTCAAAACCTTCCTTTTACTTTTCCCCTTCAGGTTAGTGACGGGCTCATTTGACAAGGTTGTCAAGATTTGGTCTCAGGATGGCAAACTGACCCATCGGCTTGATGGCTTCCTGTCCACTATAACAGACTTGTGCTATGTGCCTAAGAATAAGACATTGTGGATAGCTAGTGGCCTGCCCACTGCCACACTGTACGATCCTAAATCCGGTGAAAATGTGAGTGTTCCTTACGTTTCATAAAGGGAGGTTTCGAGGATGATTTAGATGTGTGATGGGTTGATATACATGTAAGTATATTTCATTGTGTTGTTTCTGTATGGAATTCAAGGAGAACTTTAGCCAGCAGCATTAATGATCAGTTATATATTCATAAAGAGGCTGTGAATGGGGACTAAATTCATGCAATCATCCCAAAGAAAACATTTTAGACATTTTGGGGTTCATGGTGAAATGTAATATACCATGCAAACGCACTCATCTCTGCGAAAATAATCTGCACTCTTTCATTTTTTTATCCTTTAAAAATAAAACTTTTAGCCATCATTAAAACTGGTTTCTTGTTCTAACGTTGTGTTTTCCCTTTTGTGGTTTTGCATGCCTTTCAGGTCACCGATTTTATTGGAACTTTTCAAGAGGAAGAAGACAATCAGAAATACCACCTGCACATCCTGAAATACATTCCTGAAATGGGTGAAGTCA